TCCCTTTATATAGGAGTCACAGTTTCGCCGAACATTTCAAACTGTAAAGGAATTCGCATACGGTTTTTTATGAGCGATTAGGATATGATATGAAAACAACTCGCCTATTTTAAGTGGGAGTCCTCTTTATACGACTCATTGTTCCTAATTTTGCTGTTTGAAAGAAACACGTGTCATATGATGTGACAGAATTTCAATTATCACATTTTCCAGAACCTTAAGCCGATTTAGCAACACCATATGACCTCGGACTTGACCTGAGAGAAAGACGTAAAGCATGTCATTCAATGCGGGCTTATGATGCACCGTTTACTGATGAATTAATGACGACAAACTCAGCAGGCAAAATTCACGATATCGTAAGCAGTATTTAGATGAAAGTAATTTTAGCTTCTATAACTACTAAACTATGCCACTGATCCAACACTTCCACCCAGAAACTGTTGCCTCTTATTGACATCAGGTCCCCGCAACCAATAAGTTTAACTAAGCTAGTATTTTTTTCACTGGAGCGGAAGTAGAAAGTCTTTCAACACTGCAAAGAACAACCAAAATTATACTTAGAAGAAGTGAAGACGTATGTAAACATTCATTTATGACACAGAAAAAGCAAATCAACGGCGCATCAGCTTATGGAAAAGAAAAAAAACTTTAAGAGCTCAACACTCCTGTAAATAAGAAACGACAATCATCCTGCATTCGCGAAGTACCGGATGATTTTCATTCTCTAGCGCGAGAGTGAAGATAAATCCAAGTATCTGGTCCTGAAGAATCGTACTGACTGCGAATGATCCACGATATCAAAATAGCATTATCGTATTATTTCCAAAGACTGGCTACAGTTTTGGAAGTGGGGTTGTAATAGTGGACACTCCTTTCCGGTTCCCTGCTCCGGATGCCAGGTTTGTTAGTTATAGTGGGTGATTTACGTGGTTGGACTGGGTTAGAGAAGGTTCTCATTTTTAATAGCACATGATGCAGAAGATCTCACTTCATAATTTAATAAGCCACTGACGAGGCCTCCACCGGGTTTCGAAACGCATCTGGCCTGCGTTTTAAATTAGCAGTCTTTCATTTCTTTACATCCAGAATTGTAAGAAGGGAACACGTTAAAAATCGCGCGTTAAACGGCGAGAGCGGGAGCTTATGTACTACGTAAGTGCAAGCAGCAAAGTAAGGATCCGATCCTTTTTAAGTTATATTTCCGAGTGGTGTGCTAAGGTTGATGAAACAAAATTATTTTGCGACTTGCCGTTAAACAAAATCCTCTTTACGGTTTCGAAACGATGACGAGGAGAGCGTTAAATCACGTTGAAAGTTTCTCAGTGCTGCAACGAAAGTGTCTGTAAAGCTCTGGAGCCCGTGATCATCGAATAATTTTAACAAAACCCAGGTGCTATAAGGGTGCAGAGATAGAAAAGCTAAACAGCACATACGCTGCAAACTCAAATGCCTGGATGAATGAGCATATCTTTGATCAGTGGATACATCAATTTTATCTTTGAATGCATGGTCGTAAAGAGCAACTTTTTCTCGATAGCGCTTCCAGTCACACATTCCGACGAGAACTCAACAATGTCACTGTGGATTTTTCCCGCCTAACATGACTCTCACCATCCAGCTGCTCGATGTAGTTACGCATCAATATCATGATGAATATACATGCGCACCAAAACATAAGATAAAAATACTATCCTCTTGCTAAACGATTGCTACAAGAAACTTTATATGCGATGAAGAATGGATTGGATTGAATCAAACATGGAACGCAGACTTGACTTCCTGTAGCCGTCGAGTTTGCAGCTAAGAGCTGGAACAGTAATGGTGGGGCATTCATTCGAATCTTCCGGAACAAGATTGATATCGTCGATATCCACAGGTTGCGGATTCGCGTGTACGAATGATCATCGAAAGTTTAGCCTCGTCTTTCAACAAGACTGCTACAATTTGGCTGATGTGATTAAAATGTAAGAGTAAGTGTTAGCGCGTAGGATTATGTTGTGATTGCGGACCACGAGAAGAGTCACGAAAAACAAGATGCTATAATTACGGCAGTAGCGGATCCCGGTAAAGTCAAAAGTGCCAAAATAATAAGCGCCTGTCAGGGCGAAGAAGAACCTGCGTGCTTCCTGCTTTTGCATTCGTACTACGTACTTCCTGCTTTTGCAATTGAACTTCGTACGCTCACGTAGAGACGCGCCTACCGCTCAGTCAAATCTAAATTAGATGTCATCAATTATTTACAAGAACCTGCAAGCCAGGGCGGTACAGCTCAGCATGAGAGACTTCATGTAGTACACAAACATTACACATTATTACATATAGGGACCTATTTTGTAGCGTAACTTAACTGCCCTAAATTTTAAGGGACCGCCTGGGCGTACACCCCTAATAACTACGCGCACCCCCCCCCGCGATGTCAGAATTTTTTCTCCCATTAAATGCGAGCTATCCTCCGTTCAATCCTATTATCTCTCTGTTCCTTGCTCTTCCGGCAATGCTAGCACCATCTTCCGAGCAAACTTATCCTTTTCTTAGTGATGCTCAGTTGGTAGTAGAGCGGTTTGTACTTGACCAAGGCTACGCTTTGGGGGGACGGACTCGCTTAAAACCCTCCAAAAGCGGTGGAACACGCAAGGTCTGGCCTCATTTCTTGCACGGCCTAGAGTACAGGAAGCGTCGCGAATATCTCACTGAAGGAAATCGGAAGAAAAAAACGGGCAGCAGATGCATTGAATGCCCCCGGAGCGTCACTATCAAAAGAAAATTGACCGCAGAGGGATGGATGTAGCGGGTCAAGGTAGATGAGGGTTCTCATTACCATGAGGCAATATCCAATATGTCAGGCATTCCCAGAGCATGCAAAGTCACAGACCGAGCGCGACAGGTCATACAACAGATGTCCAAGGCCGGTGCAGCCCCAAAGTTATCCTTACGACCTTACGGCAACAAGATTTGCAAATAAACCTCACCAGTTAAGACATTTCCAATGCTAAAGCCCGGCTTCGACAAGAAGATTTGAACGGCCGTACACCTCTGGAGGCCCTGCTAGACGAGCTGCAGGAAAAAGAGGCCATGCATGACTATGCGAGAGACGATGAGGGTCGAATCACACACCTCTTCTTCGCTACGACAAGAGCTATTGATCGAGCCAAAAAGTTTCCCGACGTTTTTTATGGACTCTACGTACAAGACCAACAGGTGATGAGCTTCACATTTTGCAGTCTGCATTATACAAGTCTCTAACACAACATTTTTCTACTAGGTTTAAGCTCCCACTCCCCCCCCCCGTTGTCGGAATGACCAGCACCAATGCTACATTCTCCATATGCTTTTGCTTAATGAGCGAAGAGACAGAAAATGACTATGTTTGGGCTTTGATACGCGTGAAAGGGGTGTTTCTCTTGAACCGCCTGCCTGGAATGGTGGTTACTGATCGAGGGCTGGCCTTAATGTCAGCGATTAAAATCATTCTTGGAGAAGCTTCTAACTTTATCTGCATATGGCACATCGAAAAGAACACTGTCACCAACCTGAAGAATCATTTCCGAACCAATGAAGGGTGGGAACGGTTTCTGGCAGACTGGCACCTTCTAGTTGCTTCGATAGATGAGGAGACGTTAATCGCTGATTGGAAAGATCTGCAAGTCTCCTTTTACGAGTACTGACAGACCGTGGAATACCTGAGGAGCACATGGATCGTACAAAAGGAAAAATTTGTCACCGCATCCACCAGGCTGGTCTTGCACCTTGGTCACTTGTCTACATCTCGCGCTGAAGGCAAACATTTCTTGATAAAAGGATGGATTAGTGTCTCTTCAGGAGATCTCAAAGATATGTACGAGAAGATCTCCCTCTCGATCGACAATCAAGAACATCACATATGTCAACAGATAATCTACAACAAGACGCATTCCATGCTCGCCTTCACTCACAACATTTGAAAGGATGTCAAGCGGAAGATATCACACTATGTTATAAACAAGGTGTATGAGCAGTTCCAGAAAGCTTAACACCTGGCTGGCGACTCCACCTGCTCCAGCATCTTTCTAATTACGATAAATCTTCCTTGCGCCCACGATCTCAACCGTTTAATGGCAACAATTTTAATAGGCACTGGTGGCTTGTAAAACCTCAAGAGCCTGAGTTCAATGACAGTGATACCTCTGCAGATGCGATGAAAGATTTTGCAGATGCATTGACACAGCTGCAATCTCAACACAAAACTCTCCCCCCACACCAGCAACGTCTTTTGGAGGAACAATTGTAGAGCTCTCCCAACAGCCGCTCACACCTGTGCACAATCCTGTGGTAGTGCGGACTAGAGGCAGACCTGTGGGTGCGGTGGCGGGGAGTAGCACAAACCGTAATCCTTCTGCTTTTAAGTTAGTGGAAGCTAGAGCGAGAGCTCCGCGAAGATGTGGAAATCCAGATTTGCGAGAGGGAGGACATGACAGGCGCAATTGTCCTCTCTTGAGAAAGAAAAAAGCTAGCAGAGTATGTCATACATATGCATCGAGTAGATTTTACTATGTGTATTTCACATTCGGAACACGAACATGCTTTTCTTCTTCAGGTCGCAATCACTTTTAGATATGTAACGTGAGGACTTGAATTTCGTCGCGTCACGTGCAGGGGTTGTGCGCGCAGTTATGAGGGGGCGTAATAATCCAAATGCACCACACGTCATGCTGGCTCGTGTGCAATACTCGGCCTGACACCTGAATACGCGCATTTTGTAAAAATTCCTTATCAAAGTGCTTAGCTCTGTTCCCATTTTGGGGCTGAATAATGACGTTGCGCAGCGCTGAACTCAGTCAACACGAGATAAATTCAATATACTGAACCAGTCGCTGCTGTAAAATGCTTCCATCTTCACCAGGGATGCCGCTGCCTTCGCTAGCGACGACCTAAAAAAAATCGGCTCCTCACACTCGAAGCCGCCAAGATTATACAGATCATCCGAAGGAGTGTAAATGACACCGTGGTCCGTTACAATCTCAATGATAGTGGTTAATCCGCTCTCGCGCTTCCGGAGTATGTTCTGATAGAAAAGACAAAAACAGCACAATTTAGTATAATATCAGCCGGCCCTCCCACATAGCTCAAACACCCACGCACCGTCAGGTAATGCCTCATGTAGATACCAGGCGAAGTCGAGAATGCACACTCTCCAACCGCAGCGTCGAGATTCAGGCCGCAATGTTCGACCAAAAAACTATCAGCACCACAATTTTACCCCATGAATATCTCCATTCAACGCCAACACTGTCATCACTCACCGCACAACGAAAACCCCCACAAAGTTTTAGCCATCCGCCCCAAAAAACAGCCATATTCATGTCCTTTTCATCGCCCTTCAAGTGGCCGAATAACGTCTTGCAAAATGCTTGTGCTAACCTGTTGTCGTGCACCTCCGGACCCATTTCCTCATATACATACAATCACCCAGTGACACCATTCACACGTAACGCCCACAGCTTACCATGCCAAACAACTTAAAAGAGGTCCTACCTGTACTCCCGTAAACCTTTAGATTGACATACTGAACACCTAATCCGTCCTACTCCCTACCAGCCCATACAGTTGTCTAGTCAATACCTCCCATTCCCTCACCATCACCCCCACAGCACAACCACAACCACTTGACATCGTGCAGACACGTGTCGCTGCCTGTCGCGTCAATCACGAGCCCCAGATTCACTACATACCCTGAGCGCGTGCCGACAATCGGTTGCTCCATCATCACCAACGGTGCGTGACCCTTTCGACTGGAAAAATGCATCTCTTAGCTAATAAACAATAGCGCAGAAAAGAGAGACACACGAGAGCGTAAGCACGGGCCACGCCGCAGACGGGACAGCATCTCACGTACCTAGACGCAAGCGGGGCGCGCAGGTGTAAATGCGGCGCGCTCTTGAGGCGCTTCGTGTACGGCAGCGTGCGCTCGAACAGATGCCAGCGCGCGGCGTCCCAGCGCTGCAGCAGTTTGCGGCCGCCCGAGGTGGCGTGCTTGCGCTCGGCTGCGCGAGTGGCCGCGTCCTCGCTGTTCGTGATGTGCCTTCAACACAGTGGAAAAGAGAGTGATTGTCCCTTGTGGCTTTTTCCGCGCGCTAACTCTCGGTTGCTGGTCAGCGCAAGAGAAAAATAAACCTCGTTTTATAAGAAACGAGAGGTTACACAGAACGATTAGACGATTACACACACGGGGGGGGGGCGCAGTTACTAGGGGGTGTACGCCTAAAACAGCCCCAATTATAATTGTTTAGTCCTTAATAGATCATGCGATCATTTTCTTTTCTATTGTCTATATAAGACTTCTTATAAATCACGCTATAAAAATTGGATACCGTCGATCTCCTCTCAGTTTTCTGGTTAAATCCCCTCAGTTCAAGATAACGCTATGTGATTGGCTAATTATTATTTGAGATTAGGTGGAATAATAACACATCAGCTGGATTGTAAAAGTCTTTTTTGCCGTAATCATTCACGATTGAACCTTTGTGTGCAAAAATGTCGCGTGGTGGACGTCATTGTCGGAGTTTCAGTCACCATAAGCGAGATCCTAAATCAAAAAATGTGAGTGAGCAAATGTGTAGCCATCATATCGATCCAAAGCAAACAATGATCGACCTCACTGATGCAATCAATTCGTTAGAATTTGTTGATGGTGATGCGGCCGTTGCATTGGGGTGAGTCTACCCATACACAACAAGGTGTAATTTTAATTGAACCAATACCTACACCTACAGAACTTACCGGTGCCAATTTTTAGTTCACATAAATTTAACTGCATTCTTTAGTACGAGTTTTTTTAGCTTTGTGGGCACTATCAATCGTCCATTACCGAAATAGACCCTTACTTACACGAGCATGTAGTTTCCTTGGCTTCATTAGTAGCACAGCAAATGGATTGTTGTAGAATTGTATCTCACTTGTTGCGGGCCTTAGCATCTTCGTGATAATAGTGGCATTTGTATTGGCTAGGCAGGCGCGCTTGTAAAAAGCTGCCTACGCATTGCCAACTATAAGTTCTCCTTCATTCCTTATGCGTACCTACGTTGCACAATAACGAATTCGGAGCAACATAGAAAAATAGAAACCTACACAGTTAACGAACAGGACAACTAATGATCACACGAGTCGCTTGCACGCGACACGAACGACCCGAATACGCATAAAATGAATGATAAAGAAAGTAGCAGTCTTACCACCCACTAACGCAGAAACCTTTGCACAAAACCGTGGTGGGGATTGCTTGCTGCTGTAGAGGCGTCGAACCTTTAAAATTTAATAAGCGATTGCAACCATTTGCTGACGTAAAAGTTTCGTGTTCGCAATTACTTCAGGCAAAGCTTGACATAATCTTGCGCTAAAGAACGCACAAGAACGATTGCAAACTGTACTTAGTCAGGTCATGATTGACGTTTTAGAACCTGTAAACAGTGATATACTATCCTCAAGGCGCGTCTATCCAGTCTTGTAGTATTATATCGAACTGAAAAGGATTTTACCAACAAACTGAGCGAATTTTAACGGCTTCCTAAAACAATTGGGTACAAATATGTAATTAATAGTGAGGAGCGAGTGTATTTCTGAACCTCCCAATTCGCGAAATCTACAGTGCCTACATTAACGTGAACCACAATAATTCCTAATCCGCACCAATTACGGTCATCTGTGTAGCTACTTCGGCATCTGTCAAAACGACGTGCAAAGACGTACCTGCCTTAGTAATGGTTTAGTATCGTGTACAAACGGGAATCAGCGACAGTGTAAAAGCTTGTACATTGTGCCGATTTCGTAAGATCGTGCGACATGGCGAACAACACGTCAACGTATGCACCATATTATTGATGGCCCCTTTGCCGTATTCGACACTGTTATGAGGTAGTGTCTGCCGAATTCGTGTGCCTAAGACAGTATCAGAACGATGAGAACCTCCGGTGAACCGCAGAAGGCGTCGTAATCTACCCTTTCCCAATCATGAGGGTTCTGCAAAATCGACGTCACATTCTGATGGGGGTAGTGAAGAAGCATTGGCCGCGGAATGAATTTATATAGCTAGAGACAAAGCGTCGAGTTCTTGCTGATTTACGCACCTTGATGATTTACCATTACTTGAGCGACATCATAAAGAGGTCTTTAGTGTTCACAAATACAGAGTCAAACGGGAACGCAGCATTGTCGTTCTCTTCTTCTTGTGGGCTGACTGCGAATGCTGTTAGCACGACAAATCGGAGTGAACAATGGCTGCTTAGCGTCGTTCCAAGACTTCTGTTGGACAGAGACAGCTGGTTGATGGATTGAGACACTGCCAAAGTCCGTACGTGTTCGTGTTCTTGCGTCTCGCTAGCACGTGTTAAAAGTGCTGCAAAAATACATTCTCAATTGCTCAATCTATGGAAGGGACCATGTGTCTATACGACCCTTCTCGCTGACCGATCAAGTCACCAACACGCATCACATGGTCTCGAGTCAAGTGCATGTGCTGTATGCCAACGGCACTTTCGATGTGTCAAGGTGCCAAGCGTGAGCGCTATTGTAGCAGTACATACGGCCATAACTCTGCGTGAAATTGTTACAATAGCTGTGTATTGTCGACCCCGAGGGGATGAAATTGGGATTGACTCGACTTACAATTTCTTCATGTGCGTCCTCATCACCTTCTCGTCCTCTCTCTCCGATCACGGCGCTGTAGCCTCCAACGCCTGCACAAGACTGTCTCCGTGACGCAGTACTGCGCCACTTCCTCCTTCAACTCAGCCCTCTCAAGTCATCATCCCACACTGCTTCTACCGCCAACTTCCAGCAAGCGCATATCCGTCTTGAAACCGTCTACTTCCGCCACTCACCGATCCTCTCTCAGAGTCCGTGCAATAGATCGGTCAATAAAGCTCAACAAAACCTCGCTGACCTTCAGCAGAAGCCGATCTAGACCTGTAACCCACTTGATATCGTATACACATCGTCGCATCACTCATCCAAACATGCGGCGCTTGATCTCCGAGCTCAACATGCGCATCTCCAGCTGTGCGCCGCTCATGAGACCCGAATTCTCCTGCGCCCGACGGATGAGGTACGGCAAAACCTCGCGAATGGGGCCGTACGGCACGTACTTGAACACCTTGTACGCATTCGCGCCCAGCGTGTACGACACGTGGTCGCACATGCCAAGCAGCTGGCCAAAGTACACGCCGCCAGTCGCACGGCTGATCCCAATGTCCTGCATTTGCTGCACTGTGTTAATCACCGACTGCTCATTGTGCGACGCCACCATAAAGCTGGCCAAGTGATTGTGTCGCAACAATTTCGACACCTGAGCGTCATAATTCTCGTGCGTGTCGTCGATCGAGTCGTGAATCGGGTCGTCGTACCCCTTATCCAGCGCGCGTTTGCGCTCTTGCACCATATAAGCGCCACGCACGAGCTTGGCGGCAAAGCGGAACTTCTCCCGACGCGCGCGTTCCAAATCAATGTCCACGCGGTCGCTCGACGTCTTGAGGTAGCACTGGAACGTGTTGTAAATCACGTCCGCGCCGTCGCGGTTGTGCTTGCGCTGCAGATTCAGCGCCAAGTGGTCAATCGCCGGCTGCATGTACGTCTGCTCGGCGTCCACCATGAGCTTCACGCCGCGCTCGGACGCGTAATGCGCCAGCGACTCGAGCCGCGCAATCATATTGTGCAGCTGCGTCTTCTCGTGCTCCGAGAGCGGCTCTTCTGCAATAAACTGCGTCAATGGACCCATGGTCAAGTCAAACGGGTCCAGAAAGCTCACCCAGTCGACATAATCAATCACGCCGTCCCCTGACGACTGGTCCAGTTCCGTAAACAGCTTCAGAATCTCCTCTTCCTCTGCGTCGACGCCGGCATTACGAAGCCCTGCACTCAGCGTCGGGTAATCAATCATGCGCTCCAAGTAGCGCGACTTGGCGCGCGACAGATTCGGCCCGTCCAGCGTGTGGAACAGCAGCTGCGCCTGGACAATGATCGCCGACATGCGCATGAGCAGCTCCGGCTTGCCGAGCGCCGTGCACTTGATCGCGACGAACGCGGGCTCGCCAGCCGACGCCGCTTCACTGGCGTCGCTAATGGCGTGGCGGGAGATGGCAGCGTTCGCGTCACAAGCGGCTTCGCCGTCGTACGCGTACGTGCGCGCCGAGACCAAGTTCTGGTCGACGCCATTGAGATCCCGCGGCTGCTCGACGTCGGCCTCGGCGGCAAAGTCCAAGATGGCGCCGATCCCGGCCGCCTCGAGCTTGCGGATCACGGGGCGGATCTCGTTCACGTCTTGGCCGGCGCAAAAGTGGCCAAAGAACGTCGCGCGCAGCAGCGCGTTCGTGAACGTCGCGCCGGGGAACGCGTACGAGAGCTCGAGGAGCTCGCCGCTGTGCTGCACGAGCGGCCGGAACTGCGACAGGAAGTACACGCCATAGGCGCGCACGAGCTCGGTCGTGCTCTTGGTGGCGAAGATGCGCTTCGTGTCTTGGAACTCGGTGGCCAGCGACGTCTTGGACTGCGTGGCGTCGAGGGAAGAGGAGGGAGGCGACGCGGCGAGGGACGTGGCGGCGGCGGCGGGGAGGGCAGATGACCGGCGAGACGACGCGGATGCAGAGAAGGGAGCGACGGACGCGTGGACGAGGCGGCGGGCGCCCTGGAAGGCGGTGGCGGCCGGGGAGAGTCGAGAGACGTGGCGCAGCATTTGGACTGATTGGTTGGTTGCTGGTTGCGGAAACAACGAACGACTGGACGACGGAAACGGAAGCGGAAAGGGAAACGGAACCTTTCGAGTCGCTTCCGCTCGACGAGGCAAGTTGCGGAATGAGAGAGAAAGAGAGTGAGCGAGATTCGGGAGACGGAGATTCTAATGTCGAGGGTTTGGTTTGTTTGTTTGATGGTTTGTTTGTTTGTTTGTTCGTTTGTTTGTTTGTTTGTTCGTTTGTTTGATTGATTGTGTGGGTGGGTGCGTTTTGGGTGACGCAGGTCCTCTCTCCCCGGGTTCATTGGCTCGTTTCTTTCACGCTGTTGCTGCTGCTGCATGTTGCGTCAAGCGACAAGGCGCTCGCCGCGCGACGGTTCGGCCGCCAGCTGAAGTTCAACGTGCAAAGACAGAGCAGCGACGATCGCAGCGTTCAGCTTTCAAACAGCCTACACCTCTGATATAACCTCGGGTGGGCCACGCTATGCTCGATGAGAGGTTTGATGTGCTCCACACCACACGCGTCCCACGTGACTGGACGCGTCGCGTACACGAGGAGCTCCAAAAAAGACTCGAGAGCTCAAGCCGATCGATCGAACGATCTTTCTACGCGATCATGTCGACGCCCGTGGATCTGGACGCGCTGCGAGCGTCAGTCGCGCGTCAAGGAGCTCAAGTGCGGGAGCTCAAGCAGAAAGGCGCAGCTACTGATTGCGTGAAGGCAGCAGTCGAGGAGCTCAAGAAGCTCAAGCTCGAGCTCGAGACGCAGACGACGCTGCGAGGCCCAGCGAACGACGGGCTGAGCCACTCGGACAAAAAGGCCATGGACGACATGCTGCTGCGCAAGATGTTTATCGTGCCGAGCTTTGAGATCTACGGCGGCGTCGGTGGCTTTTACGACTTTGGGCCGCCGGCCTGTGCGCTCAAGAGCAACCTCCTGCAGTTCTGGCGCCGCCACTTTGTCTTTGCAGACAAGTTGCTGGAGGTTGAGTGCACGAACCTCATGCCGGAGGTCGTACTTAAGACGTCGGGTCACGTCGACCGGTTTACGGACCTGATGGTGAAGTGCACCAAGTCGGGCGAGTGCTATCGGGCTGACAAGTTGCTTGAAGATCATGTGGAGAACTTGTTGGGAAAACAATCGGACCTGAGTCCGGAAGAGAGGGACAAGCACGAAATGCGGGCAACTATGGCCGAGTCGTATTCGCCCGAAGAGATCCATACTGTGTTCCAGGAGTACGGTATCAAAGCTCCTGGCACTGGCGCCGAGCTGAGCTTCCCCATCCCGTTCAATCTCATGTTCCAGTGTGCTATCGGTCCAGAGGGCGGCATGGTGGGCTACTTGCGTCCGGAGACGGCACAAGGCATTTTCCTAAACTTTCGTCGTCTGTTAGAGTACAATGCAGGCAAAGTGCCTTTCGGCTGCGCGCAGATTGGTAGTGCGTTCCGTAATGAGATCTCGCCTCGTGCTGGACTCCTGCGCGTGCGTGAGTTCCAGCAGGCGGAGATTGAGTTTTTTGTCAACCCGAAAGATAAGAGTCACGCCAAGTTTGCGACCGTCAAGGATTTGGAGCTGCCTCTGCTGACCAAGACGAACCAGATTACTCACGGCAAGGCTGTTCAGATGACGTGCGGTGATGCGGTCAAAGCGGGTACCATCGCTAATGAAAGCCTGGCGTACTACCTCGCGCGCACATACCTGTTCTGTGAAGCCATTGGCATCGACATGAAGCGTCTGCGTTTCCGTCAGCACTTGAACACCGAGATGGCTCATTATGCTGCGGACTGCTGGGACCTGGAGATCAAGCTCAGCTCCGGCTGGGTGGAGTGCGCTGGCCATGCGGACCGCTCATGCTATGACCTGTCGGTGCACGCGAAGAAGAGTAAAGTCGAAATGGTTGGCACGCACAAGTTTGACAAGCCTGAGAAGCGCCAGATTGTCGAGATCAAGTCGAACAAGGGCAAGATGGGGCGCACGTTCAAGTCGGACGTGGCTACGATTTTGGAAGCGCTCGAGGCGCTGAAAGATGATGTGGCGCGCGCACAGGCGTTTGAAGAGGAGCTGGTTTCGAAAGGCGAGGCGATGCTCGGCCCGCTGTGCGATGGCAAGGAGTTTCTACTACAGCGTGACATGGTGGCTATCAAGGTTGTGGAGAAGATGGTGAGCGAGGAGAAGTTTGTTCCATCAGTGATCGAGCCCTCGTTCGGCATTGGCCGCCTGCTCACTGCTGTCTTCGAGCACAACTTTTCGACTCGCGAGGGGGACGAGAAGCGTGGCGTCATGTCGTTCTCTCCTCTAATTGCACCGATCAAGGTGGCGGTGCTGCCGCTGAGCAACAATGCAGCGTTCGACCCGTTTGTTGCAGAACTAGAGCAGACGTTTATCAGCAAGGGTCTGGACTGCAAAGTGGACACGTCGAGCGTGGCAATTGGGCGCAAATACGCCCGTGCAGACGAGCTTGGCATCCCCTTCGACGTCACGATCGACTTTGAGACGGTCACGGACCGTGCTGTGACGTTACGCGAGCGCGACTCGACGGCCCAGGTGCGGATCCCAATCGATGCTATTGGCTTCGAGGTGGGTGAGCTAGTGAATGGCTCGACATCGTGGGAGCTCATGCTCGAACGCTATCCAAAGGTCACGACTGCTGGTGAGTAGATGGCTACACATGAGGAGCAGTTGGTCTTGGATCGAGGCGGTGGCAGCAGAAGCAGAGGCAGAAGTGGTGCAAAAGTATCTTTACCTGCTTTATGGTTAGGTCCTCTTTTTTGTTGTCCGAGATACCGGTATTTTCAACATGTGAGACTTTCACACGGGACCTACGATATCGCATAGCTCTGACGCAAGCCTCACGCACGCGCGACGTTGGATTCGTCATTAATGCTGAGATTGGCCTGGTTTTGTTGCATTTGCACGTCGACGAGGCCATAAAACCAAGCAACTCTCAACATTTGGGTCTGAAATGTTTAGACGAGGATTATCCCAATTCTGACTCGATTCGGTCATTGCGAAGTTCAATGTAAACATTTCCAAGAAAAATGTTGAGACGGATGACTTGAGGATACCGCCTGACAGTTGCTCATCTCAGGCTGACCGACGCCTTTGGGCGCTATCGAGTCCGTTTTTTGAGGCAAGAAAACGCCAATTGGCTCTCATAGAAGACCGCAAAAAACCTCAGTGCGTTGCAATAGAAAGTGAGTTAAGATGTTAGTCGTGAGGCGAGTATGGGCGGATCTGATGGCACATGATGAGGTTGCTGAGTCCAGCTGCAATGATGACGGTGCCAGGAATTATCTTAAACTACGACAAGTGAGTGACTAGACATCGCTTCGACGCCATCTGAGAGAAACAGAATCAGTTGTCGTCAGCAACATCCTGATCACAAAGCGAACCTGCAACGTCTGAACATGACGGAGAAATCAGCCTCGCGTCTGAACAACTGGTTGTCTGAGCTCGTGCCGCTCAGACAACCAGTCGTTCAGACGCGAGGGTTGATGTCTCTCTCAAAGCCACTTAGAGTCAGACAGAGTTCCTCGGACCATAGCCGCGGCTGTAGCACCAACTTATAACGGCCAGCTTTTCAGTACTTCAAGGTGTATCGCTACCTAACGGAGCGTCAGAGCAGGGCGGCTTGACCGGCTTTCGGCAATCGGCCTCACCTGGTAGGACTTCCGGACACACCAGTGTCGAACTGCAAGCCAACAAAGTCAGTACGTGCAATGATGTAACTGCTACATGTGCGTTACAAACAGTTCAACTGGTCCAAGAGGCATATCTGGCTTCGAGCATGGCGTGTTGGCACACGATTGATCCAGCTCTGCCATTCCAACGTGTCAACGCATCAGCTAACCGTCAAACATCATGTAACGTGCGTCCACAAAGTAGAGGTGAAGTTTACGGAGAGAAGAGCGGCGATCTAGCTGCATATCTTAGTTACGTTGGTCGACTATACTCACGCAGTGATTAGCGAAGGGAGGCCGCAGGTATAAGTGGTTGAGGCGAACACGGGACACGCATATGCCATTGATAAACGACAACATACCCCGCTGTAAAAAGCGAAAGGGGCGTGTCACTCGCTCGGCAAGCTGCGCATGACTCGTTTCGTGTAGTGGCGACTTGATGTAAAAGCAGCGACGAACTGTTCTACACACGATAGCGTGGCGCTTTTATCGGATCATATCCGAGCTGTTGGAGCTGGAGTTGTCGACACGTGACTGGCAAATGGTCGATATGGTGTGCGGGGCGTGGCAAAACTGGTTTGAAAAGGAACACTCCTATGGCTTCTGTCCTACTTCGACAACCTGTTGGAAAAATCCCTTTCGTCTCAGCTAGTGTGCGCGTACCAAAGAGGATCGTAGCATTGTCATGTATATGGCCAGCGCATTGAAAGGTCGAGTCAAGATGGAGTCACGACTCGTACAAAGTATCGTCAAGCCGTTTGGGTAAATGGACATCGTACGATGCAATATAAAGCGCCCACAATTGGGGTCTGCAAACTCGAAATGTGTATAGCTTCGGGCTTAGCGGGGTGTAGCTAGGATCGATATGGACGTGCAGACATCGTTTTCTTTGCTCACAAAGTGCTCAACAACACAGCGCAGTGTCGATACTTTCAGTTGAGTTTCACACACATACTATTCAGGAGTTACGGAAGATGCGGACGAATGAGGATAGCATCGCGCAGGCTGAGCGAGACGGAAACGACGATCGATCGTGCCGCGTCGAATCTGAGCTCACGAGAGGATCTGGTACAGGGCGACCGAGCATGAAGGAAAAACGGTTTACCCGGAGGCCACCCTATGTTATCACGGTCCAACCATGCCTGGGAACATTTTGATGCGTTTCTGCGGCATGGTGAAGATACTCGTACACGGCTCCGTACATTGAGGGCCGAGATGGCTACACGCGTTACAGCCAGCATTGTTCACAAAGTAGCGTCGTGTTCTTCGATAATGCCACGTGCACACCGTGAAATGTGCTCTCAGTGTGCACGTAGCATTATTGAAGAGCACGACGCTGCTCTCAGCACCATATTAAATGCGCACGGTCTACTGTTAACCGAGTAGTCATTCCCTTCTCGACAGTTTGGCGCCATCGTCAACTGCTTTGCCATTGTTTTCATCACAACGTCGCTCTCTTCGTCTTTTCAGCTCACGTCGTTCCCACTTCATCTCGTGTGCAGTCCCGATCCCGAACATGTGCTTCTGACACCTAGTCCATTGCATTCACATCTTACCAAGGAATCACACTGCCAATGTCGTCAAAAGACACTGCCACGGTGTATCGTGTGAACATTGATGTGACCGTGGCGCCTCTGCGATAGTTGATTGTTCGGTTCAGTCGTGTCGTTGATAGATTTGGATGACGAGTATCAGCCTCGACTGACGAAGTGGCGACAGCGCTGTCAAGATCAGAAGTAAACACTGCGAGATGGGTCATTTATAGGCAACAGTTACATAGTTTGTGCATAGTTTTGTCATGTACTAGCCATCGAAGTATTGCGTGTCGTTGATCGTATAGCGGATGTTGACAAGAATCTGCTCTTTGCCGGCCAGCAAGTAGTTTGGAAGAGAGTTCATTGCAAAATGTCGCTCATTTATCGGCACGGCTGCGATCAGTTCGCGAGGGAGTCATGGATTGATCCGTCACATCCATCCACCCGATACTGCTCAATGTATCAGCTACCAAGATATTGAAAGTCTTCTGAATTTACAGCATATGAACTGCCATTACGCCAGCACTTGATGACGTTCTGATACTCGCACCGTCCGGACCGCACGTATCAACATGCAGAATAGCTACAGCTCATGCTACCCGGTGCTGCTGGAATTCGATCGCACGTCCTTGCATTTCTTCTGTAACTAAGCTCGGTATTTGACTGTGTGTGTTGCTGCTCCACGTCCTATCGACTTAGGACAGCGCTTGCTTGGCTTACATACCATATCATTACTCATAAGTTGCATTCCTCCTTTACAACCTGCTAACACTTCATCGAGTAAGCAAATCGTGCGTTCAAAAGTGTCTACACACTTGCTATTAAAGAACGCACACGACCAGGCAGTAAGGGACTTTGCTGCCAGATATCCTGGCAACTAATTGAGGGCCGGATTTGCCGCAGCTCGTTTGCGTCGCTTAATGACGGCATCCGCGAGCTCTCTCAGCATAATGACTGTGTCGTCCCAGTTGATGCACGCGTCCGTGATGCTCTTGCCGTAGACGAGGTTCGACGGGTCGTTCCCAAGCGACTGGTTGCCTTCCACGATGTTCGACTCCACCATTACACCAAGCACCTTCGTGTTGCCTTCAGCAATGATTTCAGCCAAGTAACTGCCTACTTTCAGCTGGTTCGTGTGCACCTTGCGGGAGTTGCCATGCGAGCAATCCACCATGATCTTGGACGGCTGCTTGGCTTTCACCAGCATTGCAGCAGCTTCGTCAATGTACTTTTGCTCGTAATTCGGACCATCGGATCCACCACGTAGGATCACATGGCAGTCCTTGTTGCCCTTCGTCCGAACGATCGATGCCAGTCCGTGTTCGTTGAGCCCCAAGAAGTTATGAGGCTGCGACGAAGCTACCGCGGCGTCCACCGCCACTCTGGCATTGCCTCCCGTGCCGTTCTTAAAGCCTACAGGCATCGACAGGCCGCTGGTGAGTTCACGGTGCAATTGGGACTCTGTGGTCCGAGCACCGATAGCTCCCCACGAGATGAGGTCCGAGGTAAACTGCGGCGAGATGGTGTCCAAGAACTCGAGGCTCACAGGTAGTCCTATGGCGTTCACATCCAGTAGAAGCTTGCGGGCAATGCGGATGCCTTTATTAATATCAAATGATTGGTTCAGATCCGGGTCGTTGATTAAGCCCTTCCAGCCGACCGTCGTGCGGGGCTTTTCAAAGTACGTGCGCATGATCACCAAGAGCTCTCCGTCCAGCTCGTCCGCGAGCTCTTTGAGGCGTTTGGCATAGTCCATTGCAGCCACAACGTCGTGGATCGAGCACGGACCGACAATTGCCACGAGCCGGTCATCTTCTCCATGGAGAATGCGGGAAATGGCATCTCGGGTCACGTCCACGAGCTCGTGCACTTGAGGCGTTACGGGCAGTTCCTCAAGGACACAAGCTGGAGGAACCAATGGCTTAATTGCAAGCACGTTGCGGTTTTCGAGACGCTGGCGTTTGATCAAGCGCTCGCTGTCGGGCTTTGATTGGGAAATGTGTGACATGGTGACACGCGACTTATCGGAGACGAAGCAAGTTCAGGAATGACAAGACAGAGGCGTGCGAACCACCGGAATGTGGTGGCTTTTCTGGCTTTTATTGGACCACAGGGGGGGGGTCTTATTGTCTCGACCAATCGGATCAATTGGTCGTGGACCGGGAAAGAGGAGTATTGGAATGCTACTTTCGCTGCGAATGTCGTTCGAATGTGTGAAACGAGTGCTTTTTTCTTGATCTTTTCACTCTGGATCGTGGAACCTTCTTTTTTTTGGACCGGTATCTTTTTACAAATCGCTTCGACGTTTCGTCCTGCCACATGCAGTCAATAAATTGGAGCCGGTCGAAGCTGTACACTACTCGATTGGGTTGAGACTGCACATGCGCGGACGGGGGAGCGTCACGACTTTGGTATCGAAGTTGTTTGCTCGATCGAATAGAAGGTGAGGAATCTTTGTCTGCGCATACGTGAGGACAAGTTCAGGATCTTAATCTTCAGTTCCACTAGTGCGTTCACCGAAGATTCGTGAGTTCTACGGACAGAGTGTCGTACCATCGAGAGAGAAAGAAGCAGGGGACCGACTCAGTCTCTCTGTAGCTGTAGTGTCGTTGTACAGTGAGAGCACGTATTCACCGCCGTGATTCCTTCTGATTGCCGAATGCTTCAATGTTATTTCCAAATGATCGCTCGTACCACGAAAACACTACCCGAGATCTCGGTCTTCTCCCCAGGCAGTACGTCGCACATTGTGCAATACTACTATACCCTCGGATCTGTTGCTTCCGGAAGTAGATCGTCTCTTGCCAGCCCCACTCTCAAGCGGGCGGGCACTGCCAAAAGTATGATCAAGCTCTCGTTGTGACCCTCACGTACCGATGCTCACTGACAGCTGTGCTGGTTCCTGCCTGGTAGGATACATTCAGATCTTGATAGACCAGGCAGAAGTCGACCTACATCTGATACTCTCGTGATTGCGTTGTAATGGCTCCAAACTATTTCGATGTTTGTGAAAGACTGCGAAGCGCCTCTCCTTCCTTGTCAAAGAATGCATCTAACCGGTGAGTGTTGCTCTAATTGTAGGATCGTTTCTTGGCATGCTTGAGCAATTATCGATTCGATACCATCGACAGGGCCGCGCACGGGAACTGTGACTGATCAAAAAGTGCTGCTGTGGCTAGGCCCTGAGCCATTTTTGGAGCTGTACTAAGTGTTGCTACGTCATGCTTGGACTCGGTAGAAGACGTCAGTATGTCTACGATCGTACATGGTATGCCATGGGATGTCTGCTGTATAATTGTTGTACGGGTGTGATACACTGTGTCGGCATAACAACCACGTGTACTTTGTCGTACGGACCCTCCAATGATCAGGCTTGACTAGCGCTACTGATAGTCAAACCTGATCATTAGAGGGTCCGTCGAGACAAGATTGGTAAATCTCACATCCACGTGCTATGTGTAACAAACTACGAGCTAGAAATCGATCGCTCGAGGTTAGGCAGAGCGAAGTAGCGACAATCCGAAATACCTAGGAAACAGAGCCTTACTAACCAGGTTATCGAGATAGGTTCCGCTGCAAATGTATCGATCGGCTAGATGCAAAGGCGAAGGGGAGCAGATACATGGTAACACACTGCACCCAAGCAAACGCTGAGGCAAACGTGGGATCACAGTAGTTTTCCCATCGATATCGAGTTAGAACGGAACCTGTACCTCTTTTCTTTTTCCCTCATTGGATGCTTTAGTCATTCGACGCTCTTTGATCGATAGTGAAGCGTTGTCTTACTTCAGTTTAGCCGGCCTTGTTTGCATCGGCGATCCTTGCTTTTGCAATTCCTCGCGTTTATCGTGCACTTGAAGCCAAACCTCTAACGGTGGCGCCTACTCTCTCCAACGGACTACGCGAATGGGCTCAACTTCGATACGATTGAGCCTAGCTCTATGTGGTCACAGGGTTCGGATTGATTCCGCGTACTCGCAACGGTTCGGCCTCGTGTTGCACCGACTTCACCTAAATTTGCTGAATTGTCATGCGTCCAACACAAAGTCCCCGGCTGCTGTTCCTATCTCGCAGTTGCTACAATACACGCTCTGCATATTCTCGCAAATTCATTAGTGTCATCCGTCATGTCTGATTCGGCTTCGGTGCTGCATTCGGCTTCGATGCTGCATTAGCCGCTTGACAATGTTGCGGTTTACGTACGCTGCTGTTCTACGCTTGTGAGCTTGAGGTATTCAGCGGGAATGTAAATACCAGTTGGGCAGGTTCTGCTCCCCGCTGTACTCGGTCGAGCAGGTCACTGTGAAAATGCAGAGGCTGAAAGCGCATCACTGTGTTCTTACATCTAGAGGTGAATAGGCAGCAGACCATGCTACACGTTCGGCCATTGTTGCATTATCATAAGAACGAGCTCACGCACGATTCACAAGTCTCAAACTTCACGCTTACACCTGGTAGCACAGTCTTCCCTCAATATCTCAGCTCGTAAGCGCCTTCGCGAGGTGAAAAGTAGATGTGTCTCTACCATCTTGCTCATCATGAAACTCATGGTATCGAAAGTTAGCAAAGACAGCAGCGTTGCGATCCCTGGGGACTTCTCACACTTAACCACAAGATTCAGCAGATACATTACCGTTGTGTGTGCGCCTAAGTCGCTACCTGACGTGGTAGATTGTGGCAATCGCTTGTATTTTCGCGCAAGCGGACAGCACTGTAAGCTTCCCTACGTCGAGACTTTGCCATGTTCAGACTCGACACGTGTAGGTCGAGTTTGCTACGATGACCGGTCGAAACAACCGAGAAGTAAAACGTGACACCGGGATCATGCCTGGTCGCTGTACTCATCGCTCAGCACGGACGCAAGATAGTCAGTCCGCCAGACATATCCTATCCAGGACTTGTTTGCACCAAAAGGTGCTGGGAATCACGACCGAGGGAGGGGATCAAGTTTTCCTTACCGAACAAAAAGAAAACGACCTGGCATGTATGTTAGCGAGTGCAATAGAACACTCTCAGTATGAGTGGAGGCAAAGCGAATAGGCCACGATGAGCCACCCGATCAATCCTCTTGGCAATGAATGATGGTGATACGTTTGAGCGGCGTAGTGATCAACGTCTGCCATCTTCACTAACTCATTACTCTGCGCTGATACGGACCCTTAGAGCTTGGACGCATGCTTTCTCAGTATTCGAGTAGTTGATGCTTTGGGAGAGCGGCAATCTTGAGATAGCGGAAGAACTTGTGCGGACGATGATTTCTCATAGGCCTTTTGATCAGATACTTCTTAAGAAAAGAGGGGGGAGGTCGTTAGCAGCCGACGTCCCACCACACGCATCCCAATTCAACAATAGATCTTCACTTGAAAACGTTTGCCTGCGCGTAGCCCAAACATCGACTGAGCGCAATTGCACTCACGGATACATTTCACTTGCATTCGTAGGCTACCAGTACAATGATTCTAGTGCTGGTCGTGATTGATTCTGCACAAAGGCGCATTTAATTAGTTCTGGCTGAGTCTCCATGTTCAAGGCGGCGCCCCTCAAGACGGCCTTTTTGTGATGTCTCCAGCCTCTCCAAGAATCTTAAAGCATGGCAGCTAATAGGCACAGACGTTCACAAAGCAAAAGTTGACACCTATCGCGTACGTACTGTTAGCATGCGATCAAAGCCCTCACTTGACTTCGTTTATCACTTAATTTCCTCCAATCCTTTTTTGCGAAATGCGACAGTGGCGCCAGTGTGAAAAACGTAAAATCAACTGTAGCGTAATAGAAAAGCTACTCACGGCGGGACTTGAACCCGCAATCTCTGCCTTAGGAGGGCAGCGCCGTATCCATTGGGCCACGCAAGCGACACGAATCGAGTCGTAAAATATATACATTAAAATTAAAACAAAAAAAAGTAAATAAATACACACATATTTTCTACTCAAGACAAATGACCACAAAAGCCAAACAAGACAAGACAAGAATAACAAGACCACAATAGCCAGACAAGACCACAATGGCCAAAATTGACCACAATAGTCAAACAAGACCACAATTGCCAAAAGCGCACTTACCACAGACCGAATTGCATCACAGGGCGCCTATTTCGCCGTCGCCGTCCACGTCTACCCTACCACTATTTCGTGTCCTCACCCCGCCTCACTTTTGAACTCGCCTCCAACCAACCTCATGAGTTCGTTCGGCCGGTTCTTTCGTGTCACGACGTTCGGCGAGTCCCACTGCAAGGGCGTGGGCTGCATCGTCGACGGCGTGCCGCCTTCCCTCGCCCTCACCGAAGCGGACATCCAGCCGCAGCTCACCCGCCGTCGTCCAGGCCAGAGCACGCTCACGACGCCTCGGGACGAAAAAGATCAAGTGACGATCATGAGCGGCACTGAAAAAGGGTTCACACTCGGGACACCAGTAGCTCTTTTCGTACCTAACGAAAACGTCCGTCCGAACGACTACAAGGAGATGGACATGGTTCCTCGTCCGGGGCACGCCGATTACACGTACCAGATGAAGTACGGCACACGGGCAAGCAGTGGCGGAGGTCGAGCTAGTGCGCGGGAAACCATTGGCCGCGTGGCTTCTGGTGCAATTGCTGAGAAGTGGCTCAAGGAGAAGTTTGGCACGTCCATTGTGTGCTGGGTGAGCTCGATTGGCTCGGTGGACATGCCCCGTGACCTGCTGGACGATCCGCAGAAGACCCGGTACAGTCGAGAAGACGTGGATACAATTGGGTCGATCCGGATTTTACGGGATCCGTCCACATGGCACAAAGTGGCCGATCCAGTCGAACAAGTGGAGCTCGACAAGACGTACGACGCGCAGTTTGTCACAGCCATCGACGACCTACTGACACCGGCGTACATGGACACGGAGAAGAGGGTGTACAACCGAACGGGAGCTGTGGTGGCGACTCCGGACAATCTGGACGCGTGGCTGACAGAGGAATTGGTCCCGGTGCGATGTCCGCACCCGCCATCGGCTTGTGCGATGGCGACAGTCGTCCGCACGATGAAGGTCGATGAAGACTCGACTGGCGGCATCGTCACATGCGTGATCCGCAACGCGCCCGTGGGGTTGGGTGAGCCTTGCTTTGACAAGATGCAGGCTGTGCTGGCCCACGCCATGATGTCCATCCCAGCGACGAAAGGCTTTGAGATTGGCTCGGGGTTCTCCGGAACCAGCAAACGCGGTTCGGAGCATAATGATCCATTCTGCGCGGGCCTGGATGCTGAGAACCCGGAGAAGCTTGGCGTGACGAAGAACGACGCGGGTGGTGTGCTGGGCGGGATCACAAGCGGCGCAGACATTTACTTCCGTGTGGCCATCAAGCCCGTCTCGACGATCGGACGCGCGCAGCCAACGGTCGATTACAATGGCAAGGAGACGGTACTTGAAGCCAAAGGCCGTCACGACCCGTGTGTGCTGCCTCGCGTGGTGCCGCTTGTCGAGTCGATGGCCGCACTCGTTATCGCTGATGCCGCCATGATTCAGCTGGGCCGCGATGGCAGTAAGCAGGACGAACCGGTGCAGAAGAAGCGGAAGCTGTGAGGAGGCTGCGCCAGGATTGATTGACCACGTCGCTTTGCATGGTGAGATAGTCACAGCGTAGATACCAACCGCATAGATAACGCTACAAGCCGATTCAACACTCAGTCTCATATGTTAGTACCGCGAGCTTAGCAAAGAGAATCCGATCGATGTCTTCACCATCCTTCAACCGGTTCACGATGCCAGCAAACCCAACAGAGTGTTGACGTACGTACGCCTCCACGCTATTGTACATGACGAGACGTAGCCCTCCACCATCGTGCATAAACACACCACATGGGTCGTCATTACTGGAACCACTTTCCTTCGCGTCTCGACATACACCGGACTCATCAGCTGCTGTAGCTGTTCTATTCTAATCTCATGTATCATCATCGCCTCGTAGCATCATGCCGCCTCACTTCCATGCTTGCATGCTGCTGCTATGATGCGAGATGCTGGCCATACCGAGACGACGGTCCGACCGTGATCCTTGGAATTGAACGCTGGACACGATGCCGCCTCGGCAATTTTGTGTTTTGACCTATCCATACCTCACCATCTGCAGTGCTTTGTCTTCAACATGGCACAGCGTCTGCTGCGGTAAGTTTCTCCCTATTTGCTAGAGCCATCTCACTCTCTTTGCGCGGCTCTCACAAACAACAGCTTAAATTAGCGACGACTCGTTGCTTAGCGTCCAGACGATGTCTGAGGCTTTCGTATCCACGCGCGTCTTGTCTCCCTTCACAAACGCGAGACCAGATTGACGGATAAATGCTTTACCTGCCTTCCCTGTAAGCTTGAGCTCGTTGCGAATGTGTTGCATCGAAACAGTTGGACGGTACCTGTGCAGACAAACAGTAGTCAGTACCAACAATAAATGAGCTGTTTCAACTGCAGCGTACGCTTTGCACATGGCACGAAGTGCACTCAGTCGAATCGCGGGGACCATCACGTCCATTAGATAACCTGCCATATTCGGAGCACCTACATAGAGTTTGAAAAAACGGTGATAATCATTCATAGCAACCGCCTGACGCACTGCCAGTGCGTGACTGATTGCCGGGTGGGCCCGCAGTTTGGCGGTTACTAAGCCCAGCACGTTGTACATGCCGAGCTGACCTGCATTCGAGTCCCCCTTTTTGGCTTGCAGAGACACGTACACACAATACAAAATGCGGTACGCGAGGAACTCGATCGCCTCGCCCGGGATCAGCTTCTCATACAGTTCGTGCAGTTGCGTCTGGCACTGATTAAACTCGTTGATATCGCCCGACTCAAGCGCGATCCGGGCGTGGATTTCATACACAGACACGGTAAACTCGTTCTTGATGTGCTGGACTGTGCAGTCCTGGCGGATCGACTTCAGCTGGCTACAGGCATACACATAATCGTGGTCCCCCTTCTTCCACTTCGACTTGACGAGCTCCAGCGCCCGATGCAGCACAGGCTCCGGCCGCACCGTCGATGGATGCGGGGGAGACGTTAATCGCAAGTATTTCTTCTCTATCGTCTGACTAGTACCTTTAATGACCATCGCTGCCAAATCCAAGTCGCCATCCAGTGTAAGTACCTGCAGCTTCTTCGTATCAACTTCCGGGACCACCCATCGCTTCAGCTCCTGCTGCGTCTGAAAGAACCGCTGTTTCCGCTCCGTTTTGCGCTGATCGTCTGCTTGTTCCACTATGGAGCTCTCGTGCTTGCGCTTCTTCGTCTTCTTCTTCTTGCCAGACGTCATCAAGTCTTTCCCCGGCATCGTAGCGACCTCATTCACGCGCACCTGATTCCTACAGTTGTTGTTACCAGGCAACGAAGCTGCCGTGTGACTACCCAGAGGTCCCAACCCTACCGTCGCTCGCGCTCTTCCCATCTCGGCCTTGGTCTGCATGGCAGCAGCTGGCGTGTCGCCAACCAGCACTGGCAGCGCCTCGACCGCCCAGTTCTTGGTCCACAGACTGTTCGTCATGATCGCAGTCGTAATCCGCTCTTTCAGTACGTTCTGCGTGATCGTCTGGTCTGCTGCGCCTTGGCACCGAGCGAACGCGCGCTTCACGTACTCGTGTAGCGCCTCCGGCCACTTGGCGTTGCCTGCTACAGCCGCTGAAGCAGCAGTTGGTGGTGGCGCTGCTGAGAACGCGCTCGCAGGAGGTCGAAAGCCACGAGGCGGAGGCGGGGGAGGACCCACCGGTCCACGAGACGGCTGCGGAGTCAATTGGAACCTCACGGGCGGCGGTGTAGCCGCTGCAGCGGCAGCTGCTGGTCCATTGTTCCCGTTGGTCCATTGCCACTGCGACGCGACGGGCGCATTCGCGCGAGGTGGCGGCGGGCGGCTAAGCGGCGGTGGCCCGCGGCTGTACAGCGTCACTGACGGAGGAGGAGGCGGTGGGCGAGGAGGAGTGGCGCTGTGGAGGTGGTGCAGTGGACGTGGAGGCGGCGGCGGTGGCGGTGGCCCTTGTGGACGAGTAAAGAGGCCAGAAGTAGGGCGCAGTGGGGGATGACTAGTGAATGGACTCAGATTCTGAGTCTGAGTCGACGCGGGGGTCGCGTAGAACGACGAGTAGCCGGCAAAGCGCGCTGCTGTGGCAGCAGCTGCTTGTTTCGACGTGAAGCCAGCGCTTGGCGTCGCCGTATGGGGCGGCGTCGACGGCGTCATGGACAGCAGGAGAGAAGGGACTGCGCTTGAACTGCCGCCGTGGCGCTGCCGCTTGCCGTCTGCAGCGTGAACTCGGGAATGCGCACTGGGAAGGGAAACGTCGACGCTGATTGGTGGCGCGATGGAGGGGAGTAACGGCCAATCGTATCGCTTCGAGCGGTATCTTCGTTTTAGCCAATGGAAACGTCTTAGCGATGCGGCGAATGGCTCCACTCGCCTGCTGCATACAGAACGAACGACTTGTGGTAGTCAAAATGAACCTGATGACGGTACTTGGACGTGGACTCGTCGCTCGCGCGGCTGCGCGTGGTAGTCAGCGCACGCTCGTCGCAGTGTGTGCTTTGCCGACGCCTCCAGTTGTCTCGCAGCGTCTCTCGTTCTCGTCAGCGCGCAAGGACGACGAGACGCACTCGGACTTCCAGCCGCAGTATCACGCGGCCAAGTCGAATGACAAGGACGAAGTCCTGAAGATGATTGAGAAGCACGTGCAGACGTACCCTGTGATGTTGTATATGAAGGGGACGCCTTCCGCTCCGCAGTGTGGCTTCAGCATGCAGGTCGTGCGTCTTCTGCACGCGCAGGGCGTGAGCTTTGACAGTGTCAATGTCTTGGATCACCCGGAGATCCGAGACGGCGTCAAGGCGTTTTCGTACGTAGTGGCCATGTGTAGTTTGGGAGAAGGGAATGATGTTGCTAGTTGACACGGAGTCTGTGCGTGTACGTGCATCTTGTAATGTGTGTAGCCAATGGCCGACGATCCCTCAGCTCTATGTGAAGGGCGAGTTCGTGGGTGGGTGCGACATTATCACGGACATGAGCAAGTCGGGCGAGTTGGCTGAGCTGCTGGCGGAATTCAAGAAGGAAGCGTGAGGGCGAGTAGACAGGACGAAGCGCAAGATGAGGACATTGAGCAGATTGTAGTGAACGCCGTAAAGAACGATGAGAGAGAGAGAGAGAGAGGATGCTGCTGCATCTTGCAACCTCATGGCTACAATGCGCTTTTGGCTCGTACGCTTTTTGTTTCGTCGTCTTGTAATTCGATGAGACACTTGTCTCGGACATACTCGATCCTGTAGGGGTCAGTTTGAGACAATCATGGTTCTGGAAGACGTGGTCGATCCATTGGACGACTACATGGCATCGTTGGAGGTTCCACCAGGTGGTCAACGGATTGCTGGAGCCCAAGAGACACTCGAGTGCACGAGTCGTCAATCGACTGGTCGTGCTACTCGTTGCAGTCTCAGTGTCGCCGCGAGAAACAGACGCTATCGACGGCTGCAGCAGCTGCTGGAAGACACGTCTGAAGACCGCTACTTTTCGGACGACATGATGCAGCAGCGCAGTCCTGCGCTGTTCCACTTTTATTTGGGACAATACGCAGGACTCGACGGAAGCACGAAGCCGGTAGTGGCCACGGCGGAATTGACGTTGTCCACTTTCTTGATCGACACGCACCAACGCAGCGAAATGGAAGCTCGACGGGTGGCCGAGCAAGCGACTTGGGGACAGTTTCGTGCTCTGGACGAGAAGCTCGAGCAGCATCGACTGCAGGAATTGTACGAAGTCGAACAGGTCGAAGAAGAGGAAGAGGACGAGGAGCAGAACGAGGAGCAAGATAAGGAATACGAGGACGTTGTGGCAGTGGATGCGGTCGACGAACGACGCGAGCAACTCGTCGAGGTCATGTGCATCAGGTTCCTCACTGGTAAAGACGAAGAGTACGTGAATTACGCCGAGATTGATGAGGATGAAGGCCTCGACGACTTTGTTGCACTGCAACGCGATGCAGAAGACCGCTACTTTGCAGACGGAAGCGATGCCTCTTGATCTCCTGTTCAGCAGTGAGAGCAGTGCTCGCAAGAGCGAAGTGTTGCTTCTTTGCTGCTGAGTCGATTCGCGGATGTGGTGACCGACCGATTGAACCGATGAAGGTCCACGCACTGCCGCACTTGCAGTCCATCGCTAGTTCGTAAGGAGCAGAGTCAATAGCAGCACTACGTGGATACATCAGCTTGGAAGTCCACTCATCATCTGTTTGCCACTGAGCGTTCGTTACCCGTCAATGACGTCGAGAGAAAACGTGTACGTTCTTAAACATTGGCTTGTCGGACAAATGCGTATCGCAAACGCTGAGCCGTGATCATGCAGAAAGCTTGCGTGGGCTTAGCGAAAGGAATGGACGTCACCTATTGTATACACGACTGAAATACGGAGGGAACTCAAGCTGTTCTTATCAAGGTCATCTCGCACGATATCAGGACAGACGGTTGCTCTCTTACGACCCGCCACGTGAATGTCGGGAACTGCACCGAAACTCAACGAAGGAACGAGATTGTTCAGTGTGAAAGACGCTTTGTCAGTCTAGAATGGTCGGAGTCAAGTGATCAGCCACTAGATGGCGAGAGCAAAGGGGACAAATCTTTGTCAATGCTAAAACGTCTGCTGCGATTGCAAGTAGCGAGAAAAGAAGAAGCTGAAGCCTCGGAGCACAAGGTGCGCAAAATTGTTGCGATGTCGAAGGGTGGATCCATCTCGCCGACAGAGGAAGCTCAAGTCTATGTCATCTGATCGTCTGCCTCTCGACTGTGTGACATTTCGCGTGCCCCTGGCATTTGTCAGGAAGTGTCACGATTTCTGACACTGCGTCTCACAAACTTCGTTTGGCGACGGTATCCGACGACGAGGCCACTTCCCATCTATGCAGCAACGTTGCAGCATCTCATCGATGAAACGGTATCTTGCTTTACAACGTGGTGCTTGCGATTCGAGCAACTTGTCATAGCAACACAACGTTTCGGGATCGAAGATACCAAACAGCTTTCTCTGTATCATCGAATGAAGAAAAGGCAGCGATTGCGGGATGGTGCAACGGTAAAGTACATGACACTCACAGCTTTTACTTTACATGAAGAGACGTGATAAGTACAAGCTTGGAAGTGAATACAGGTTCGACAGACCGTATAACGAGGAACTGACCGACACACGTGTTGCTCTGTGTCCAACCAAATCACCCATGAGGAATAGTCATTGACTTGGTAATAGGTGATTGAGAGTGACCGATGAACAGCTTAGTTTGTAGATCTCAGCCATTTCTCTCTCTATCATCTCCACTTTGGTCGATCTTTATCGAATTGCTCAGTAAATACCATACTTGTAGCGCTGAAATGGTCATCAGTCACTTCAACAGTTTGTCACTCGCTTCCAAGCCCATCAAAGTCACTCCAGCCGTGTCTTGTAGATCCCTGCTGGGGCGATTGGGTGCAATTATTTGCACGGATACGTGGCTACGGGCGGCAGCCCATCAGCTTCCTCCCCAGGTCTGCTGGAAGCATGACAGTTACTCTGCAAGTCTGCCAGTGTCGTATACTGTTGGACTACAAATGTACGACGATTATGCACATTGGCTATGCGAGAACATAGAGAGGCGCACAAACGGTGGTCCGAGCACCACATGGCTACAGCCTCCTGTCGTTGCGTTGTAGCTTCAGCAAGGACTGTCTCTTGTCTCGTTTCTAATCTTCCTCACCCGAACATCGCAGCGTTACTGCTGAGACACGACCGCCTCAGCAGAAAGTCGCACGACATTGATTTCTATCGCGCTCGTTTTAGAAATGCAGCGCTATCGCCGATCCATCTTTCTCGTCGCAGTTTGCGTTCGTCATCATGACTGCGACGTCATCGTCCCGTGACGCGTCACCACGTAGCGGCGATCGTGCACTACCATCACCGCCATCATCATTAGCAGCAGCAGCTGCTTCTCCAGACGCTGCAGTGCGTCCCACAGCTTCGAAGAAGAGACGCCACGAGACCTCTAGCGTCGAAAATGGAGCCAAATCCACGAATCGGAAGCGGTATCTGCGATTTCTAAAAGCGCACGAGCTGAAATTTGGCTTGGCGCCAGTGGCAAGAGACGTGGCGACGGGTGAAGTAACAATCGTGGTATGTCGCTTTTGCCAGCACTTTGGACGCGAGCAGCGACCGGATAAACAGCGGCGGTCCACGAAGAACGTCAAGTACTTTCGGAACTCGTTTCGGACGGACCAGTACCAGCAACACCACGAGATCTCTCATGGCGAGACGTGGCGTCAGTACCAGGCGAGCTCGGACGAGGCCAAGCGCGTGTTTTTTCAGCGGCCTGAAGTAGCAGCAGCAGTAGCACCAGAGAAGCTACCCGGTCGAGCCGTAAACGCGTCGGCGAAACTTGATTTGGAGCTCGCACCTGGGGAGATTTGGGTTTTAGAACCGACGAACGAAGAGAGGAGAAAGTGCTTTAACGTGACACCAGCGATCGTCGAAGTGGTCGCAGTGCTGGCCATTGGAGCGACGGAAATGACCGTGGTAAGTGCGCTGAAGAAGCAGAGCCATCGCATGATTTACCACGCCCATGAAGTCACGGACAATGAAGTGGTGCAATGGTGTCCACCGAAAGACATGTTTCAATCGTGTGAGCTACTAGGAACGGCTGCTGAGCCGTTGTACCGCGTCATTGTGCACTCGAGAGCGCAGATTGACTGCATGGTGGAGCTCGCAGCCGCAGGGTTGTCGTTTCGTCAGATTTCGAGTGCGATGCGGTCGTTCTGCGTGCACGCTCCTGTGCTTCTTAGTGACCTCGTGACAAAGAGCAAGGACCTGGGAAGTGACCGTGGGGCCGATGCATTGCGTAAAGGGGCTCGCAGTGCAAGCTTACGCTATAGCGAGGAACAGACGGCTGAGTTCATACGTCTGATCATTGCAGCCAACTTGACGGCGGTATCGCGGCTACTTTGTAGCTCCTGGGCTTTCTCACTGGAATTACGAGCGTCCATGGAACACGCACCGATGCGGTCGTATCTGGACTTTCGGGTGAAGGTGTATGGTCAAGGTGCCATGCATAGCGTGCATTTAGTATCGATTCCAGCATTTGAGAGCAAGTGCAAAGGGATGATGTATAATACGCTGGACAAGGTACTGAGTGCTGTTCTGCCTAGCTGGAGACACCGTCTGATTGGAGTGACGACCGACGGCGATGCGCGAATGCCAGCTCGAGTGCTCGACATTGTTGCACGTTTACAAGAGGAAGCAGCTACTCCCATTGTCTATCGCTCGTGTACCGCATGTCATCAGCTGGACTGTATTGTGACGAACTTTTACTCGTCTCTGCAAGGCGGCTGCTTTCTATTAGCCCTCAAGGATTTATCTACCTACATTCGACGACGACCGGAACTTCTCGCGATCATGTCACCTCCTCCTGCACTTCCCGAAGTTACAAGTAGCTCTCTCAGCCTACGCGAGAGGTGGATTGCGCTAGGCAAAGAGACCAACTGGATTGCGGCGCATCGCAACTTGGTGTTCCATCACCTCGAAGTTGTAAAGCCTCCGAGTGCACCGGATAACGCGTGGTGGTTGTTTTTTGCGGCAGCAGACTGGGTCGCTACTCGTACGAACGAGGCATTTACCAAGCTCCTGTTCAAGCGCGCAATCATTGCTGACCAGGTTGCAGCGATTGCTGCTTTGTCCAGGGAGTGTGCTGCTGCTTTTTATGCTCTGGGTCCCGATAATGACCCGCTGCTCGTTGCAGAACCAACATCACACAGCAAGTCGTTCAAGTCACGCAAAGGCCACTTTGCATTGAACAAGCCTGGCGTGATTGCATTTCTACGAGAGACCAAGCCGCCATTGGCCCCGATTTTGAACACCACGGAAGCTCCAATCGTTGACTTGGCAGCGGAGAATCTGGCAATGTGTGGCGTCAATCTGATCGAGTCATTGCTTGAGCTCAGTATCGCTCTTGGCGATACGCAAAGCTCTCATGGTAGTCGTGGACCGACAATGACTCGAGAGATGGCGGAGTTTTTGCCACCGACGCTGCCTCACGAGCTCGTGCAGCTCAGTGGCCGTGAGTTTGCGTCTCTGCTTCATATGTACAGCCCGATCATCGTGCGCTTTATGTCAACGGAAGACATGAACACGATGAACCACGAACTTCAAGCACTGCGTCGAGCTGCTGTGTTCGAGTCGAATCTGCGTGAATCACTTGCTACTTGCAGTGCCAATACGCCGTTTCAAGAAGCGTGGGCAGCTACAGGACATCGGTACAAAGCGCTCGAGAGGTTTGCAGGTGGATTCGCAAGTGTCTTTTCGTGCACGCCGATACCCACGCAAGGCAGTACGAGCGATTTGGCTCTATGTCGCATTGACATGGACACAGCTCGAGTCGTGCTGGCTGATTTTGCGCTAGAGGGTACATTACACGCGCAACAATTTCCAGCATTAATGGCTCTCAACGAGTTATTGGAGACCACGAGAAGCTGAAGTAGCAGTAGTTAACGTCTTTTCGAAACGACAGACACCCTGGATTTCGATAGAGGACTGTACTGTCTCTTGTCTCTGTTGCGGTCGGTGGGGACACAAGTTGTACACCAAAGAGAGACATTCGGTTCATTGTCCGATACTTTTCACTCAAATGTCCCGCTTCCTCGCTGAGCCAATTACGACCAAGACTTGCCAGCAGTTCAGAACGCCTGGCATGTCCATTGGGAAGGCTAGCATGCAAGGCTGGCGTGATACAATGGAGGTCCGGTGCTTCTTGTTGCAACTTATAAAGTGGTAGCGGTTCAGGCGTTTTTGTCGCTTCGCTGACAATTTCTATCGATTATTGTGCATTTCTAACAGGACGTTGACATTGTGGACATTCCGATGCATCCGGATGTACCGGATACAATTTGCGTCGCTGTGTTTGACGGTCACGGTGGATCGACTGTGTCGGCTTTTATGTACGTGATCAATGGAGTCTGTGAGGTCCAATACCTCGGTGACAAGGCCAGTTGTTTGTTGTCAATGGGTGCTGATGCTATTGTTATTATTGTTGTTGTTGTTATTGCAATTATTGTGTTTTTTCATATTGATGACTATCCTGATTATTGTTTTGTGATGTTGTCGGCTTCGTTACCATTATTGCTTGTCATCATCTCGGCCATTCTTATGTATACTGTCATTTTTGTGACTCGACGTCATTGTTGTTCTTGTTATTTTCTATCGGTATTGTCTTTTTTCTTCGTGACATGTATGGTGTCACTATTACTTTGTTGTTGTATGTTTCTGCTGTGTGATGTGGCAGCGCGGAGCAAATTGTCGGAGCTATTACAGCTACCGAGGCATTCAAGAAGGACTCGAGGTCGCCCGAGTCCCTGGCTGTAGCTCTCTGTGAAGGGTTCATGGCAGCTGATGAGATGCTGAAAACCCACCCGGAGCTCAAGACGTCATCGGATGAGACGGGGTCCACGGGTTTGTTTGCTATTATCACGCCGAGAGACGTGGTTTGTGCCAACGTGGGCGACTCGCGGTGCATTTTGAGCAACTCAAAAGCGCTCGAAGTGCTGCAGCTATCTGTTGATCACAAGCCCGACCTGGAGTTTGAGAAACAGCGCATTGTTGCAGCTGGAGGAACGGTCTTCCGGGGACGCGTGTGTGGCGGCGTCGCGGTCTCGCGGAGCTTTGGTGACTTGTGGTTCAAGCGCAATGCTGAATTGAAGCCCCACCAGCAGCTGGTGACGTCTGAGCCTTGTGTGCGTGTGCAACGGCGCGACCCAGCAGACGAGTTCCTCGTGCTCTGCTGCGACGGCATCTATGACGTTATGAGCAATGACCAGCTGCGGAAGTTTATCCGCAGCAAGCTCAAAAGCGGCATGAAAGACCCCAAGGAGATTGCAGAGATGGTGCTGGACGAATGTTTGGCCAAAGGCAGTCGTGACAACATGAGCGCCATCATCGTCCTCTTCGACGGCGCTTTCAAAAACTAGCCGGACTGTAAGTGAGCCGTCTGGCAAGCACATATGATGCTGTGCGCTGTTGTGTGTGCATCGCGTCTCGAGGAAGTTGCTGCTGTATCTCATTGCAGCTGTTGATCTTAACACGTTTTGTTGTTCAGGATGCTATGCTGTGGAGGTTGCATGCTGTCAGGCCCGACTTTGTCTTAGACTGCAAGTACGACGGTCATACAAAGCTGTTGGAATTGCTGATCCATTGGAGGCAAGAGGCTGCCTGCAACGCAACGCTGCAACGTACGAGAACGAGCATGAAGAGTGAAGATGACAATGAAAGAGTCGACGAAGCTAGAGTGGTCGAGGTTTTGGCTGCTACTGCGAAGTGCTGTTTGCGCATGATCGTGATGCTACATTAGTGCATTTCGAGACGCTTGGGTATGGTAGCTACTTGAAGTTCGAGCCTGTGAGGGTTGTAGAGCTGTCTCAAAGTGATAATAAAGGTGATGCGACTGGCAAACACGACGGAAGCAGAGATCTCTCGATGCTACAGGTACCACAATAGAGCTTACTGAATACGTCGCGACGGATTCATCGGCTGCCGAATTCTTGCTGTGGCAATACACTTCACGCAAGCTCGCTGGAAAGTGAGGACGAGATTTACAATTCATGTAGCCTTGAGGAAGTCAGAAAGAGTTCATGTTCGCTGTCACGAGCTTTCGGCGGAAGACAATGCAGAAACAACTGATTGCAGCTGGAATCGCTTGCTGCTTTTGTGCTGGCTCGTGGAAAGGTGCCATCGATCAAGAAAGCTGCGATCTAGATGGTGTCAGCCTGGCAACCGCACTGCATATTCGACTCTTCACGCAAGCTCGAAGCTTCTTACCGGTCCGCACAACTCAGCTTAACGCTATAACGAGCTTGAATGTCGTAGTGTAACGTCACAACGTGATCCAATTATACTGAGGTCGTCTTCACTGCGCTTCTGCTACACTGCAGCTGGAAACGCCATCATGAAGCTGCAAAAGTCGATGAAAATGTACTCCGTGAGAAAGTAAAATAGCGTGGCCAAGAAGATCGAAATCGGTAACGCTGGTAGGGCCTTGTGCAAGACAGCCAGAAGAAAAAGCGTTCCACCGAGACCCTATCATCACCACACAAGCCACACACACGCAGTCAGAGACATGCAACACAGACACCGCACAACAATACAAGTGCTCGTGTTCGCTTACCATGACGATGCAGACGAACGTAACGGCAAACGTCGAGAAGTCCTTAATGGCAGCCCGACCGACCAGCACGCTGTAGAAAATAAAGTCACCCAGTCCCAACTTAATCGTCTTGTCATCTTCGTCTTCGTCCTTGCGCTCGCGTATGCGCTGATCACGTCGTGCTTGCACTGGACACGGCATGTCCACGGAGCACGAACAGACATAGTATTTGTGAAAGATCAGCAGCCACATGCGGTCTTGTGTCTCCACAAACTTCTCAGCCACTTGCGGGGCCTTCCACGCATCCTCCGGACTGAACGTCTCATAAAACACAGTGAGCAGACTCACAAGCGCCTCGAGCGTCTCGCACTCGTACGTAGTAAAGCTCGACTCGGCCACATTGCGTGGTCGTTGTCCCGAAGCCAGGACCGGGATCGGAGACGACTCGGTGCTTTCTGTCGTCGGCACGACGCCTCCTATCAGCTCTTGACTCGAACCTTCAAGAGGCGCAGCATGAACACCATTGGTGTTAGCCACGGCAGCATTCGCGTCACTGTTCGGATGGCTGTTGCTAGACGACGACGATTGTGAGGTCGCCGACGACGGCTGCCGGTCGGTCTCAAGCCCACCATTCTCCACTGACGTCATCTTCGGACGCGCTGGTCCTGCTTCCTGCTGCTGTTGTCGATGATGGTTGTGCGTGACGCCGTCCCGTACATCCGCTTCATAGAGCAAGCCTGGCAGCGGTGCTTGTTTTTCCTGGATCAGTCCAATCAAATACTTGAGCGGTCCGCACGGCGTCAAGACGGCACAGAGATCGTAGCACGCAAACAAGACGCAAAACGTAATGGTCGTCCACTCGGGCCACATGGAAAACTCCCACGCCAAGATGACGCTCACGAGCACCAAGTAGCCATTTTGCACGAGCTTCGCGATGCCTTTCTGATAAAAGATGGCAATCACGCCCACGACGCCGAAATTCAGCATCACAAAGACAAACGACGGCCAGTCGACCGGCCAGTGCAGCTGTTTATTCACGACCTCGTCCACGAGCTGGCCGCCCACGAAGCTCAAGATCGCCGTCGAGGCAAACATAATGTACCCACTCAGAAACTTCATGCAGTCGTACTTGTAGAGCAACGCCATGCCAAACGTCAAGAGCGCAATGGCTCCAATGATCACGAGCGCGTTCACGAGCGACTTGCCAAACCCGGCCCCGCCTTCGCTTGCACTGGAGGCCCCGGAAGCGTTCGCGCCCGAGTCGCCGTAGACCAAGTACGTGGACATGGACGCTTCGATGCTGCCGCTGCGGTAGTTGACGACCACGAGACTCGCGACGATCATCGTGACGCACACGGGGAAGACAATGGCCCAGAACGAGTTGATGCCGTGCATGAGGTCGTCGTACTTCTCGTCCGGTGGACGTAGCGGCGACTCGGCGGTGGAGGCGCCGGTGGCTACAGCTGGCGCATCGCCGCTGTTGGGTGTCGTGAGCTTGTCGTAGTCGACGGACGTGTCGAGCGGCGCGTCCTGCGCGGCGTTGGGCGCCATAAAGGAAGCGAGACTCGGACTTGGACGCGGACTTGGACGTGGACGTGGACGTGGACGTGGTCGTTTTATGTGGTCTTTTGGGGCGGGAGCTGTCGGGCCACTTTGTGGTACAGTTGGTGGTGGATGGACTGGTTTGACGACGACGATGACGACTGGCTCTTGGTTTTCGGGTGATCTGGGGGCTGGGAGGCAAACGGGGCACAAAAGCGACATGACCATATGGTGCGATAGAAAAAGAGCAGAGGGAGAAGAGGCAGTTTGGTAGACGGAGAAGAGAAAGGACGTTGCTGTTGCTGTTGTTGTTGTTGGTTTAGTACATTGGAACGTGGAAAAGAGTGGCAGGAGCTGGGGGCGCGGAGGCAACGTTGGGGCTTTTTATGGCTCTTCTTTCCTTCTTGATTGTCTTTTCTGCTTGTTTAAGACGTGAAGGACCATGTGGGTCTGTTTCAGTATCTGTGGCACGTCTTCTGCTGGTGTTGGCACGAGATGTTCCGATCAGACGATTCGTTTTCTGGTGAGTCGTGGGGGAAAACTGGTGGCTGGGCACTTGAAGGGGCACGAGTGTGATGTTGGGCGCGTATCAGAATGATTGTTGTGAGGTCAGATGTCCCATTGTCTGGATAGAGTCAGTGTGGAGAAGCAAGTGGCGCGAAGGTTGTCTGTGTGTGACTAACAAGTCGTGGACGTTCTATGTAAATCACGCCGGACAGTAGTTCCCTTGGTGTACACAAAAGAGGCAGCGACGGTGCTTTTTATGTCGCGACTGGAGATGTGACGAGGTGAGACTTGTCCATCAACCGACTTGAAATAATGCAGTCAGTCTCCTGCATCTGCTGACACAAGTTATGGTACGATGACACCTAGCAAAGAAGCATTAGCCTTCGTTCTGGGAGCTTGAATTTGCTGTCAACTATTGATGAATACATCTGCGTGTGCACTGTGGTGAGCAGGTGACGGTGATTGTATCGAGACAGCACCAGTGACATGCATGACGATCCTTGTAGCAGGGCCCAATGCAATTGCAACACCGTCTTTGCTGTTCACAACATATCTTTGTGTTTACAGGTGTGTATTGATCAACCTGTTCGTCACGACGTTACAACCCCAGCTTTACCTCGTCGTGCAAGTCACTTGTTTGCAACAGTGTCCACACCAGATGTCGATAATGCGTACCCACGTCGTTTGCCAAATGTTCATCTTTCCTGGTCAATTGACCATCAATCACGCAAGCGCAAACTTGCTTCCGCTACTACTGCTGTACGACTTCGTGTTAGCCCTCCCACCCGCTTCACGGCTATCGGGACACCTTGTTATTCCCTCAAGCGATCGACCTTGCGAAGACCGTCGAGGGCTGCCACGCGGTAAGCTTCTGCCAGCGTCGGATAGTTAAACACGGCGTTACGAAAGTACTCGAGCGTACCGTCAGTGGACATGACTACCTGTCCAATGTGAATGATTTCCGTGGCACCTTCGCCAATAGCGTGGACACCGAGAAGCTTCAGTGTCTGTGGACAGAAAATGATCTTGAGAAAGCCCGGCACACCTCCAAGCATCTGGCCCTTCGCTAGCTCTTCGTAACGAGCAATGCCGACCTCGTATGGCATCTGCTCCCTTGTCAGCTGCTGCTCGTTCTTCCCAACCATCGAAATCTCCGGAACAGTGTAGATACCGAAAGGAAAGACTTCGCCAGAGCGCATGCGAGTGCGCACACGATCTGGGTCATCCATCTTCTTGTCATCAGATATCTCCTTCGTGTAAAATGACTTGGACGTGCGCATGTGAACGGAAGCGAGACGTCCTTGCTCCATCGAAGTCGACGCGAGTGCTGGGAATCCTATGATATCACCCGCTGCATAACTACAAAAGATCCGCACATTTGATTAGCATTCACCGTTTTTGTCAGCGATCAATCGAGATTGTGCGTACATGTGGGGCACGGCAGTCTGAAAATTGTTATCGACTATAATGCGCCCGCGCTTGTCCGGAGCGAGGCCCACTGCCTCTAAGTTCAAGCCCTCCACATTGCCTTGACGTCCAACCGTGTACAGCAGACCATCACCAACGACGGTCTTGCCACTCTCGAGATGCACGCGGACTTCGTCTTTCGCAGATTTCTCGACACTCTTAATGACCTCATCTACGAGGAAACGAGTTCCCGTTTGAGCCATGGAATAACACAGCGCTTCCGACACCTCCTTGTCCGCCATTTCGAGAATCTCTTTGCGGCCATCGATCACCGTGACATCCGTACCAGGGATAATAGACATCATTGACGCGTACTCCATCCCCACCACCCCAGCACCGACAACAATCAGCCTACGTGGGACCGCCTTGACCTTGCCCCAGAGCAATTGGTCGCTGTCGAAGATCGTCTCACCATCAAACGGGATGTCCGCACGACGAGCTGGTCGAGTACCCACGCACACCAAGAAATTGTCCGCTGTTAGCACGCTGCAGAGCGCACAGCCACACAAAAAGAAACATCCGAGACGAAGAAAAACTCAGCCAAACTTAGCACAAATCCATAGAACGCCACTCATGACCCCTTTCAGCACTACCAACAGCTCTGTCTCCGTACCGCTTGCAAATGTTCGCACTCGAGTGCCGCTTTGCATCTGTTGCCGTCTCGTACGACTCGTTCGACAAGACAGCAATCATGTGGCTATTTCCCGGCATAAACCTCGCAGTGCCAGTGATGAGCTGCACGCCATTACGCATCAACTGATGCCGCGTAATGTCCGTCTCCGCCTTCTCTACCTTGTTCACACGCTGCAAAATATCTTCCACCCCAACGCGCTTACTCGGTCTTGCTTGGCCGTTATAGAACACCCGATGGCGGTATCCCGTCAGATGCAGCGTGGCCTCTCGAAAGGTCTATAGTACAGAAAAAAGGCACACGGAACAACGTCAACACACACTGCACCAAACGCCAGCTGTCTCACACTATCAACCTAAAATAAAGTGGTTATCTGATCCCTTGATATCGTGGTTATTTAACCATCTCGTTAACCAACTAGTTACCAGTTAGCACCAACAATGGACGCTCATCACCCTGCACGGTACCTTAGACGGCACAGTGCCCGTGTGCACACAGACGCCCCCCAACATGTCGCGCTTGTCCACAATAGCCACAGAGTTGCCGTGTTTCGCGCTGTCGATGGCGCATTTCTGGCCGGCAGGGCCGCTGCCAATCACAATGAGGTCGAAGTGTTCGCTGGCCCGCAGCTCGCGCAAGGTCTCCGTCAGCAGCTGTTTATTGGCTTCGATGTTAGGGCTACTCGACCGGGAGGAAGCGGCCGCGCGGGAGAGAGCGCGCGCTGGCGCGAGAGACGGCGCCAAGCGACGCAGGAGCTGCGCGGACATGGCAAAGATCGGAAAGTGGTCGGCGTGCCACACCATCGGTACGTAAGTTATGGGCCATGCGGATGGAACCCAAATTAAATTAGCAACCCGCGCCACTTGGGATGGGTACCGATGAGCTGGCACATGCGACATGAGTGATTGTCACATATGTAAAGGAGCCGTAACTGTCGGTCGGTTGGTCGATGCCTCGGTCGGTCGGTCGGCAATTTTTACTTTAGGTTGTCGTTCGGTTCCACTCTCTCTACCGTGAAAATGACCGACGGCGAGGAGATCTGCACCGAATAGTGAGAGTGCGAGTCACAAAATAGGCACCGGACATGCGACCACTTGGCCGCTAGGTTATCTTCAGGCGGCTGTACTGGGGGTTCTACTGTAGATGGACATAGAACCGTCGTGTATACATCGTGCAATCGTATTGTACACGTACGTCCACCTTCGTCGCGAGCGGACTCGGTGATTGTCCATCACGTACCGGTCTGAGGTATACCCGCCGCCGCAGTCATCGACGCAGCCACCACGTAAGAAGCGGCTTTGAACGACGCGCTTCAAGTGTTTGTTTTTTCCTAGTCATTGATGAACGAGGTTCAATCATGTCTTGCATTATACTTCCTGATAGATATCGATCAAATATAAAATAAAAAAAAAGAAAAAAGAAGAGAGAGAGAGACATTCCCGTCAAGCCAAAGCTTGCACCGGTTGCAATCGCACGACTGTGCCCCATCATCCGGCTGTCGCCAGCAGGATCATCCCAATTCCAACATGTTTCAGCGCGCGTGGTCGCAAATCTCCGACCGTCGCCCAAATATTCTACTTCTATCCGAATATTCTCACTAGCAAGCCACTCGGTGCACGCAACGACACCAAAAGTCGCACTGGGCCCAATTGTCACAATAGTGACGTCCATAATCCAGCCACATCGACCTGGCACTGAACGAAGACCCCACTTCGCTGCTGACGACCGACGGCGTCCACAGCGCGAGAACGTTAGCAGCAGCAGCAGTCGGAGTCCCAGCCTGCTATAGTGGACCGTTAGTCGCTACCGAAGAGCATACGCGGGAGCTGCATTCGATTTGAGAGGTCTTTGGGTTCGACCGGACAGACGCGGGGCTGTCGGGAGAAGCAGGTGCACGTCCCGAGGGGTGACGGAAGCGAGACGTGGATCAGGGGCCGAGTCTTCTTGGAAGTGGAACTCGGACTTGGCTCGGCTAAAGCCTCTGGACGCGAGGCCAATGGCAGACACAACCAAGTTGGGGTGAGTCACGGACGAGGATCTTGAAGAGGCAGAAGAAGGAGGAGGAGCAGGAGCAGAGAGGATGGGGGAGAGGGGGTGAAAGCACTGACGGGAAGGCTGTGTTTTTTTTTGTGGGTGGGTGGTGCAGGAAAATCTTCATTGGCGGACTCTCGTACGAGACGACGGATGGTGAGTTCACGGGGTGGTGTAAAGCTGGTTTTGGACTGCAACTTGAGACGACGATGAGAGGGGGAGGGAGGAGGGTGTGTGTACTGATGCTTTCGTGCTCTTGGTCTTTGACTTGGTGCTGTGCAGAGAAGCTCCGTTCGTACTTTGGAGCGTACGGGACAGTGACGGATGCAGTGGTGATGAAGGACCCGATTTCGAGACGATCACGAGGTTTTGGCTTTATTACGTACGCAGACCCCGTCTGTGTAGATAGAGCGTTGGCTCAGCCTAATCACGTTTTAGATAGCCGTCGAGTACGTGTTTTGCTTGATACTTGTTCCCTGATCGGTACAGTTGGTGAGAGTACTGACGTGAGTTTTATTCTGCGCGTCAGGTTGAAGCGAAGCGTGCCGTTCCTCGAGCAGAAAGCACGCGAGATGTTGGGAGCTCTTCGCTATCGAGTCGAGGCATTGGAACAAATTTGATATCGAGTACGAGCGTGAGCAGTGCAGTCGGCGCGACGAAGAAAATCTTTGTGGGCGGCCTCCATTACGAAACGAAAGATGGTACGTCAGGCCTTACTGCGCGACCGATGGATGATGTTGGGTTGCTGTCAGTTGCTTAGTGGTGGTGCTGACTATTTCGTGTGCGTAATGACGTCGCCTCTTTCTGCTTCCAGCGGACTTTAAGAAGTATTTTATGCAGTACGGCAAGGTAGTGTCGGCCGAAGTGATGTTCAACCGCGAGACGAACAAATCGCGTGGATTCGGCTTTGTTATCTTCGAAAGCGAGGTTAGTGTGGAGCTAGTGTTGCAAGAGAAGAATCACGTGCTAGATGGCAAGTCCGTCGAGGTTAAGCGTGCTGTCCCGCGAACTGATATTCCTCCCCCGCGGTCAGTTTCTTCTCGTGGCGATTCTTTCAGCGGTCCGTCTGGACCAGGCTCCGTGGGGAGTCTTGATGACGTGTGCTCTACGACAACGCCACCAGTGTCGCTCTCTGGTAGTGTACCCTCCGTTAGCAGCTTCAGCGCTGCTATGGGATCAGACAAAATGTGCCGCGCAACGCCGGCTTCGGCTAATCTGATGCCCAACGGGATGCTTCGAGGTTACGCTGCCGCTGTTCGCTACGGTGGTCAAGGGGTGTCGAAGGCCTCGAGCTCCAATGCCGTGCTCTCATCGTCTTCATTGACTAGCAACAGTGACACCAGCAGCACTCACAAAGGGATGGGCTTCGAGACGTCCTCGGTCAGCGGTGTTGCAGATGCTCTTTCCAGTCTCGTACTTGGTGACAGAGGTGCATCATGCGGTAGTAGATTTTTGGGTGGAAACGGTATTGCTGCTTCTCCGCCACTGTCGGCAAGCTCGTCGCGCGGATCGTCGGATCACCTGTTTGACTCGGGTGCTGTGTTAGCCACGAACGGGCACCGTTCACCACTGGACAGTGCTCTCCATCTTCTAGATAGCGACCCTGTGATTGAGCAGTGGAAGCTATCTCCTAGCTCAGGTCCTCAGCGTGCTTCAGAGGCTCCTTTGGCGTCATGTTTTGAGTCGAGTTACCTCCCGCATGGACTAGTGGACGACAGCGCTGAATCGATGTCGAATCTCTCGTGGCAAGCAGCACCTTGGCAGCAGCAGCAGTCGTGGGGCTCTCCGCCGTTACCGCGAAGTCAACAACAACAGCTGCAACATCAACATCAGCCCCCGTTGCCACCTACTCCGACATCATTGTTCTCGATGTTTTCGAATAGGCGGAGCGGTGGCACTCCACTTCATGGATCGAGCGCATGGCAGTCGGACTCAGACGGCGAATTTAGGCATGACACAAGTACTGCAGCTCCAGACAGCGATGGCTTTGGCAGTCGGACGATGGGCATGGGTATGTCTATTGATGGTGGATTTGTTGACAATGGCGTTAGTCCTGACACATTTGGACTGCACTCAGAGCGGGGCAACAGCGCGTCTTACCGTATGTCGGGTGGATATTTGCAGCAAGGTTATCTTCCAAGTGACCGTTTACATGGGCAGCAGCACCAAGGGTCAGCGACTGTCGAACACCCGCTCGATTCGACACAGTTTGAACGGTCGATGAACGGCGAGGTGCCATCTCACGCAGACGAATCGCGCAAAGAGCCGTCACCTATGGATTACAATTTACCATCTTCTGCAGCAGAGTTCCATCGGGAGTTCAGATAGAAAGAAGGCGATGCAGCATGGACGCAGCGGGGCAATGGAAAGCGACGAAGTTTTGGCGTCCAGACCCCGTCTCTTCGTCTTGATTGTCGCATAGAGCCCACGACGTCGCTCACGCGTGAGCACGTTTGCACCCTGCTGCTGCTCACGATTGGAGTCAGTGTGGAAAGTATCGAGCTCAAGTGATGTACAGTGCATCATGTGGTGGTGAAGTTTGCAACGACCGTGTCTCACGTAGCACGAAGCTAAGGAGGGCGAAATGTGCGTATGCAGCAGAACGCGAGGAGTGCATTGTGGGTGGATGGAGGAGCACGAGGAAGTGAGCGAGTAGTAGTCGGTAGCGAAATAGTGGAGTAGGAGATAGGTAGTACCTAGGTAGTTTTTTGCAGGGCGAGTGAGATGGTGGCAACAAGAAGATGAAGAATGAAGAAGACGAAGAAGAAGAAGAGGAAAATGAAGACGCGTGTGAAAAGGAAGCGAAACGAGGACGAAGGAGAGACGGAGACGCACGACGTCATTGGCAGTAGTCCAGATGTGGTAAATACAAGCAGTTGAGTCCACGTTGACGTTGACTTTGTATTGCTCGCTGTCCTGTGTGTGGGGCTATTGGAATCCGAAAACGACCACCAAAACCGAAATGCCCTCGCTATGCCCGTCATCTGCCGTTCTGACTAGCGCTCCTTCTCTGTCCATGTCGTTGCCGTATACATGCGTATACGAAATCAAACCGCAAGTCGCCCGTCAGACCACTATACGAATGGGCATCGACTGGACGCCTTCGAATGAGGAGAATCAATGGCGTCGTACGTTCTGCCAAGTGCCGTTTCCTGCCATCTACGAGCACGCAGACAAGGGCAAGCGCAGTCTCGAGAGCCTCGTGGCGTTCTTTCGTGGCCAAGCCGCGAGCGAGCGCCGCGCGGTCAACGAGCTGCGAGAGCTCCTACTGGTGGCCGATGAGCTGCACGTGTTGGAAGAATGTGGAAGCGGCAGTCGACGGGCGTTGCTCGAGTTACGGGCGTTCGTCGATGCAAATTGCAGGCAGAAGCTGAGGGTGGCTCAAGTACTGGACGACCAGGTCGCTGGACCACTTGCGTCGCTGCAAAACGCGTCCGAGACGTACATTGAGACGCTCAAGAGCGAGATTTCACGGGCAAATCGAGCGTACGGAGCTGCTGCGGAAGGTCAGAATGAAGCTGCCGAGTGGTGCTATCGAGCGACGATGGACTTACGGGACGCAAAGGACCGACAGAAGAGAGCACTGCATGTACGTGACGAGAAGTCCAGAAAATGAGAGGCAGGAGAGAAGGGAGAGCAAGTAGTGGGGGAGTGGAAAGCCTCATGTCCAGTCATTTTGTGTCGGTGTCTTTTGATTGATGGTAGGGAATTGGTGTGCCTGAGTTTGAGCTGCAACGCCTGGCAGCTCGAGTGGCCAAGTGTCAGGAAGAACAGGCTCAGGCAGTGATGGTACGAGCCCGCACGAAGACGACGCTGTATAACCGGATCATCTCGCGCGATGAAATGACAATGGCTGTGAGTGTCGCGTACCAGAAAGCTGAGGAAGAGCGATTGGATCAGCTTCATGCGAGTCTACGTCGCTTTGTTCAGATGGAAACGGAACGGCTCGAGACGTCGCAGCGCTTGTTGTCGAAGTTGGCAACGCACGTGCAGAGCTTGAGTCGCGCTGAAGATCTGCAGATGCTTATTCATAACCAGCGGGATTCGGACAATCTGCATTTCCAGGGAAAAGCGTTGGCGCTGTTGGACTGGCAGTGGAGCAAAATGCACGCGGATCACGTGGGAACGTCTCACAACCATGCACTTGGTCTGCTTGAGCGACGAAGCAGCACGGAAGATGGTTCATGCGCGTGGCCTTTGCCATCATCAGCAGCTTCAACAGCTACGCTGTCTTCCCTGAACAATGTGTCAGCTATCGATACTGCTACGTTGGACACTGTGGCTTCACCAGACAGTCCGCATACGCTCCTCACCCAGACCCCGATGAGTGCTGCACTTCGCCATTTTTTCGCCCAAGATAAAGAGCACTGTGATTCTGCGTTCGATGAAGCAGAAGAAAGCGAGGCCGGAGCTGAACCATTACGACCACCATCTTGCGTGGATAACCGTGAGTATCCTGGGTCTCCGCAGATGACTATCGACTGTCATGAAGCACGGACATCAGCTGAGGCTCTCGTACGTGAGACGTGCAAGACCGCTGACGGTCGTGCTCTGTTCGTCAAGTGTCTGAACCGACAACGCAGTTTGGAGACCAAGGTAAAGGACCAAGCGAGTTTCGGAGCACTTGTCGCTTGCTTCGATGCGTTCCTTGACGAGTGCGTTCGTGAAGACGATGTCAAAGCGGCGAAAACTGCCATGATTCTGGCCGAAACGTTTTACTACCCGAAGACGCAGGAACAAGGAGTGCGCTTGGACTTGGTCGACGATGACGTGTCGGATTCTTTGCAGTCTCGAGGTAACGAATGTGATCGTCCGAGAGACGAAGATGCCGGTATCGTGGTACGCAGGTCTTCATCAGACGCAACCTGCATCGATTATACTGAGCGAACAAGTGAGGAGCTACTTCAACGCGTTGATGAACTTCATCCTTTTCGCCATGGTGGAGGACATGGTCGAGGTGCCACACGGACGTACCTCCAAGAAGAAGTCAAGCAGCACAGCATCTGGAAGACGCCATCGGTACGTTCTCAAGACTCGTTTATGTCAATTGAGTATCTAACGCGTGCTTGATGCCTGCCCTATTCGCCACGTAGTTTTGGGAAAAAGCGCTCTTGTTGGCAATTGGTGAGGAACTTCAGCGGACGCCACAGCCGTGCCCGTGGGAGGAATTACCGAGCGGCGTTCCCAAGCACGATGGTAAGTTTTCTCTGATTGACGTATCGTCAATGCCGTGATCATAACGAGTGCGTGTTATTCCGGGCGCTCTTACAGGTCTACCGTCTCGCGAAGAAGCCGTGTGTCGTGTGCATAACATCGTGTTCGGCCAGCTTGGTTCATTCACGCTGAGCATGCTTGAGTTCAATGTTCCGCTCTTGCAGATCGAGTCGTTCGTGGAAACCATGTGTGACGCACATGAACTCACGGAAGACCAGCGGTTCCTCCTGCGCAAGAATCTACACGAGATTGTCAATGCAGAGCGGTAACATCAACACATTTGAGCGTAACAAACAACAAGAATCTACGCGTGGAATGGAGGCGCTGCCGTCTGACGGCACAATACCACATCGTTACAATAGCCACAGCTGTCGTCGGCTTCATCACCAACCTAGCTCAACCGTTCAATGACCATCGCACCCGCGCCGCCGCCGCCATTGCAGATGGAAGCACAGCCAATCGTGGCATCTTTTTCACGGAGAATGTGGATAAGCGTGCCGACAATGCGTGTACCCGACATGCCAATGGGGTGTCCAATAGCAACAGCACCGCCGTTGACATTCACGCGATCGTGTGGGATATCCATGAGCTGCATGTTGGCCAAGGCCACGACAGAAAAGGCTTCATTGATCTCGTGGTAGTCGACGTCACTCATCTGCAATCCCGCGTGGTTGAGCGCCAACGGCACTGCCTTAGACGGTGCAATCGTGAACTCCACTGGGTCCTGTGCGGCATCGGCAAAGCCACGAATACGTGCAAGAGGCGTGACGCCCAGCTCACGAGCTTTGGCTCCTGTCATAAGCACCATTGCAGCAGCTCCGTCGTTCAACGACGACGCATTCGCTGCCGTGATCGTCCCGTCCTTTTTAAACGCCGTGCGCATGCTTGCAATCGTCTCGATCTTCGTATTGAACATCTCTTCGTCCGTGTCATAGACCGTCGCTGGCCGGCTACGTCGTCCGTCGATCGTCACGGGCGTGATTTCCGTCTTGAAAAAGCCCCTCGCGCTCGCATCCAATGCACGGTGGTAACTCGCACGTGCAAACGCGTCCTGGTCGTCTCTCGTCAAGCCAAAGTTGGCGGCGCACTGTTCGCCACACATTCCCATGTGCTGATCGTTGTACGGATCCCACAGTCCATCGTGTACGACGCCGTCCACGAGTGTGCTATTGCCAAGGCGATAGCCTGCACGTGCTTTTAGTAGATAGTGCGGCGCGTTCGTCATGCTCTCAAAGCCGCCAGCCAGCAGCACGTGCTGGTGACCGCTCTGGAGACTCTGCGACGCCAGCGCGAGCGTCTTCATGCCCGACGCACAGACCTTGTTCACAGTGGTGCACGGGATGGACGTGGGGAAGCCAGCTTTGAGCACGGCTTGCCGCGCAGGAGCTTGGCCGATCCCAGCGCTCACGACGTTGCCGAGAAACGCCTCTTGGATCTGCGCCGGTTCGAGTCCGGCGCGCTTGACCGCTTCGGCGTTGGCAATTGCTCCTAGTTCCGGCGCTGTGAGCGGCGCGAACGAGCCATTGAAACACGCAATGGGCGTACGCGCGTAGCTGGCGATGACCACGTCCGTGTCGGCTACGCGCGTGCTGAACAAGCGGCGGGGGGACAAAAACGGTCTGGCGCAGCGCATTGTCAGAGTGATGGTCAAGTGCGCTCGAGTGCGCAAAAGGAAAAGTGACGTCAACTGCAACGTTGACAAGGTCGAACATGGGTACAGTCGTCGTCCGCTTCTATGATTGGATGCATTGAAGTGGGTTCGCGACAGCTTCAACGACGATGTGGACCACGTGAGGAAGGAGAAGGTTGCACGACGGTCGCGCAACCCACCGCGCCCTGTCCAAGTGACTGGTTGGTGGTGTGTGTGTCCATGCCGTTCCTTGAGCAGACGCAGGGCTTTGCAGCCCCTGACAGCCACGTCTCTGCGCCGTCTCTTTTTGAGCTGCTCATGCAGGAGCAGATGGAGAAAGGGGTGAAGCCAGCGGTCGAGTACGTACTGCATACGCTGTGTGAGTCGCTGCCCAACTTGGCGTGTGCGCTGCCTGTACGTCGCCTGGACGAGAGTTATGCGTTATTGCAGTTTTGGATCCAGCGCTACTTCCTGGCACGCTATGACTGTCTAGCGACTGAGAAATTCTACGGCATGAAGCGTGTCATGCTGAAGACTGTAGATGGGAAAAGCGCTGGAGAGGCGACGTCTGGGTTGACGCCAAGAGCCAAGAAACTCGCACTTTTATTTGCTGTAGGTTTATGTTCGAGGAACTGGTTGATGCTATTGTAGTTGTACTGCATTGGATGCGCCGAGTAGTACTGACTGACTGAGATGCGATGTTGCAGGTAGTAGTGCCGTACTTGAAGTTGAAGCTGGATGCGTATCACAAAGAGACGGCGGAGCTGCTATCTAGAACAGCCGTGCAGAGTACAAGCGCTCGTACAAATACAGTCACGAGTACGGGGCAGCGGTATGGAGTCTTTCTGCGACGTTTGCGAAGCATTGCGTGCTTGCAGGCGCTGAAAAAGAGCTTTGTTACAGCGTATCCGTTCGCGCACTTCGCGTACGAAGGGTCTTTCTTCGTGTACAAGTGGCTGTATCTGTTTGGCGATACACCATTCTTTTCGCCTTTTTTCCGATGTATGAAGACGATTCTTGTGCGAGTGTCGGCAGAGGATGCGAATACGTTTCGCCAGAATGACATCGCGTACCGTAAAAAGGTGATGGAAAGGCTGAGCGGGTCGGGACTGTTTAATCGGATCTGTCAATTAGCAATTCGCACGGTGTGGGCGACGTCCGATCACTCGTACGTGCTGCTGCTGTTGGGCATTGCGGGGTATAAGTTTGTCGAGTGGATGTACTCGGAAGAAGGTGTGTCGGCCAAGTTGCGGTATACTGGAAGCAAGGCGCCAGTCCCGTCTCCACCACTACCACCGCAATTCTCGGGTCAAGCATTAGCACTAGCTGCCATGGATCCCGCATTTTGCCCGCTGTGCAAGCAGAAACGGGTGAACCCTGCTATGACTGATTCAGGCTACGTGTTTTGCTACCCGTGCATATATCGTTACGTTGAACATCATGGAAAGTGTCCCATTACGCAGATGAAGTGTGAGCTGACTGCTATCACCAAGATCTACGACGATGCACGTGACCCGTAAGCTACGAGTGGTGACATTTGGAAGGGGTATTGGACAGAGTGCAATACGACAGACTGATGTCGTAATCAGAAGCAGTTTTGACAAGTGCTTTGCATCCGTTAAGTCTGGATACCCGAAGTTGGTGTATCTGGAGCAAAGACGAGCAGGTTCGAGCCGGTTGGAGGGGTGGCGTCTTCATGTGCGTATGGCAGTGTGGTGGAAGTCGAATTGAAAACTCATTGTGCCCTGAGCCAGTATTTGGAGATGGACTGAATATGTACTGAGGTATACGCACTCTACAGGGCCTAATCGCTGCGTGAGCTGCGTGATTTTCTAAGCGAGAGTTTACGATATTCACGAAATTTCAAAATCGCCAAGGGTCTGCCGGTGTGAATGACGCAACCGAGAAGTCAGAATCGCCGAAGTGGATGGCGCTGTGTCGTAGCATCTGTTGATGTGGGCAACAGTGGGTGCCTGTTGCGGTGCTGGTGACGCACAATGCCCATCTAAATTGTCGAGCTGAGCGACATGTGCTTCATTGACGTATGCGGATAAAAATGTCGCGCCTGCTTCAGTCGACTTCCAACCCGTTAAGTTTCGATGCAATGTGTCCACATCCTTTGCCATTGCAGTACGCGTGTCTGGAAGTTCTTCGCACCAGTAGCAAGTCTTTCGTATATGCACGAAATGCATACGTCAATGTGAAACGAGCATATCCATCACGGTTGCGAATGCGGCCATGTAATTTGGTAACTAATTTGCATTTGATTGTGCTCGACCAAGCCCTCAAATCGGGTCCAGCTTTCCGTCGACTTTCATCCACTTACGAGCCAACAATGGACGGCGCCTCTGAATATCGATAGTACGAGAAGCTACTGTGATAGTAGCGTACGTCTTCCTTATAAGAGATAGTGAGTGTGACGAATGTGCCGGAGTATCATTGCGCTCCATCCTTTCGTATATCAAACAAACAGCTTATGCACCATCACTGATGGTAACTACCTGCTGAGCACATCTAGAAGAACCTGTTCACCGAGGAATCGATGCAACGAGCATAGAGCCTAACCACTGCAGTTTACACTTGATACAGCGAGTTCATTACGTCGGTCGCATCAATTATTATTTGACTATGACCGTGTGCGTTCTGCTTTCTTTCGAATGCAAATGCATGATTCATCTTTTTTACAGCATGTATAGTGTGTATACAAGAACCGATTGTTCTTTCAGTATTGTCCGCTGTCTACCCATTCCAAAAAAACACCAACCATCACTCTTCGTACCCATATTTACCATTTGTACCTAATTTGACAAATCCCGTCTTGGCTTTTCATCATGAACCGACTGCTGCAGCACTTTGTGGACTCGAACGGAGCGCCACGTGCGACTGCTTCTTCGCGTCTGTCCGTGCCATTGCCGCCGGAATCATCAGGAGGGTCGTACCACGGCAGCAGCCGTGGCTCCTATCAACGCGCTGCCCCCGGCAGTCCGTTTTTCTACCAGCCAGCACAGACCGGCGCCAGCGGATTGGCCGAAATTCCACTCACGTCTTCATCGAGCGGCGCTAAGTACGAAACCGTCGATTTGAATGCTGACTCGCGTCAGAAACAGGGACAGCAACAGCTGGTTGGGTCGAATCGTCATGGGCTCTTTTGCACTGAAGGGGGAACCGGTTTCCATACGAAAGTTGCCAGTTCAGGGGATGCTCACGTGTTCCGTGGCGAGTCGGTCGTAGCAGGTCCAGAAGTCGCGAAACAGTTTCCATCTGGTGCAAGCAGTACAGAGACGGGTCAGTTGACGACCATGGAATCGACTTTGACGGGAGTGCATAAACGTGGTACCGTACCGAACGGTGCCATCGACACGACGTTATCGTCGACTTGTGGTTCGACGAATGGACCAGTTATAGTACCGTATTCGTCACGACGAGACGTGTCTGGTACGAGCAATGCAATGTCAGCCATGGATGACGCTGGTCCAGGACAGGAGGGACAGGACTTGTTTTCAAGACAGACGGTACAGAATGGATCATATACGACGACGCACATGGACGAGAATGGAAATGGATTCAACAATACTGGACCATGCGCAGCAGCAGAAGTTTGGAGTCAGGTATCAGATCCCGCTCAGCTGTCGGAGAAGGAGACGGGATATCAGCGACGTGATCAACACCAGTTGAATGGTCAGTCGACGATGGCGGAGCCGTTTGGTTCTGCGTCTTTTCATGTTGATAAAAGTCCGCTCGAATCACCTGCTATAACGAACGAGGACCGTCAGTGTCAGCATTTGCCAAGCGCTGACAGCTTGTTTGGGTCTCCTCCACCGATGAACAGCGGAGGCTGGCCGCATGCTGCCCCATTTGCACAGCAAGCATCGAAACCGGTGCAAGCGCAGGCATTATTTGCAAGTGGAACACCACCTGCAAGCAGCTTGTTTAATGAAGATGCATCAATGCCGCCACGAGCTAGCCAGATAGCGCCGCCTCGTGTTGTGACCAAAGCTCTACCGTTGCCACGCCACCCCCAGAATAACCTGCCATCCTCATCAACGCGTTCTCCGGCGATGCCTCCGGCAACAGTCGTACCCCCGACGACCAAGTCATCGGACGAGGGCACCCCGCCGTTGCCGGTACCCGACGTAGCAGTCTTAGCATTTTCGGCTATGAGACCCGATGACCATTACACTCGTGCCGTCAGTTCTAGGAGATTACCTGCCCCTGCTGAATCCGCGATGAAGTTTGGGCTAGACGTACGGCACATGAAGTTTTCGGCAGGTAAGCGCGAAGATGATGCTACTTCTAACGCCCCAAGCATGGCTCAAAGTCGGATGTCGATGCTATCGACGTTGGACGATTCACTGAAGCTGTCGGACATGTACAAGCACATGACCACACGGTTGCAGAGTGAGAAGCAAGACCTGCTCAAGGTCGTATCAAATCAGGCTCAAGAAATTGCTCAACTGAAGAAGCACATCAAGTCGTTAGAGCTGCAGATGAAGAAGCAACACTTGGCTCGAGATGCGTAATCCAAGATTCGAGAAGCAAGGAGGAACGGAGAAGTGGGCTTTTGTGTAGAAATGACTGTGCTTTGGACAAAGGGTATCGATTGCGCTATCGTGTTGACGTTGAAGTGGCTGACTGATGTGTGCTTGCTTCCCTGTGTGAAATGAGCACAATTGTCGCGAATGTTGTATACAGCAAGGGGTCGTGCTGACCATATTTCTGCTTTGCCGAAATTAAGGACCAATTGCTGCAAGTCAAATAGAGTGTGTTGGTTAATGGAGCTGGCGAAATCGCGTTTAACAAATGTTTGGTCGCCATACAGTGTATACCCGTAATCAAGGGAGTGGTCAATATTTTGATCTCTCATTCGACAGATTAAATACGGGGAGAAGATTGTAGACCGAAAGCTAGAAATGAAATGTTATGTCATAGGATGAAATTGCTTTAATATACCTACGGACAAAAAAAGAATTACACATACTATAAGATTAAGCAGTTCACGCTCTCTGCAAAAAAAAGTTGCCAACCAAATAAGTATCATTTGACCGGCTGGAGGTAAAAACTTGCTCGTCGCGGTATCTCTGAGCTATCATATTGAAACTAATGTAAATCGCGCGAGGCTGATTTGGAACCGTCGTTCATTTTTACCATAAAATTCCTACTTTCCTACCACACAAGCCTCAATGAAGTGCTGTCGAATTACTAGTTGGCAAGCTCAAACTAGGACCGTCACCCTGGAACCTTCATACATGGGATCTACCTACTGTTACCAAGATGGAACGATCATCATCAACGCTTACCCTAGCCTTTTACCTATTCCAACGTATTGTGCTTTTGGATATCACCTGAAGGTATAGTTATGAAATCCCTGTTTGGATCTAGTTCCTTTGCCCTACAAGAAGAGCAGCTTTGTCTGATTGCGAACCCAGATTTATGTTTGAGCAGAGTTGTCAATCGACAGCAAATACTCCCTGTAGACACGCTTTTGATTCATCAACGTGGTGCACTTTAGCTGTCTTTCTACATGTATAGTACACGACCTTGGTGTCTTCTTTTACCTTTGTATTCGGTACCTCTTGCTAGTACATCTTGTGGTCAATACAAATACAGCTTTTATTCGTTCTGGTATGTATTAGCCTCTGTTTTCGTTTACTGAATGAGCACATTAGACGACGTGGCCGTTTTAACGTAAATCGATCGATACGAGCTGTTTGCAGTGAATTTTAGAGCCAAACTGAACGCAACATTCCTGTCGTTCCTGTTATCTCACCGTTACCGAATTTGCTCGCTTAATTGTCGAAAATTGCCTACAGTCCATATTGTTTGTTTGCACGTCACATCTTTTTCTTCATATATACAGTAGATGCGGACGGAAGCCGATGTGATCATAAAATAACAAAGCTTCGCTGTATGCACACCCTGTGCACTTGACTTTTTTGTCGTAATTCGCTTGAGTGATACACCTAACGAAGATAAAAGTGATGTGAGTGTCGTACTAGAAATAACTATGTGTGTGATGCGTACAAAGTAAACACTGCTTACATTTTTAAGTACTGTAAGCGGTTGACAGTTACATACATACTTTGTCAAACTTGACCCAATTTTGACACGTTGACAAAACAGATCCATTAAGTCTGTCATTGCCAACCATTCTACTTCATCAATTTTTCTTGTAGCATTTTTCGGTGACCAATTGCGTGTTTCTGGGGCGCTCACGGTGTCGTTAAAGGAGATAATGGAAGCTTTTTTATGCGACCGTCCTCGTAAAATTCTCAGCCTGCGGCAGGTACATGATGACAGTCACTTAAACGTTCCAGAGCTTAAAAGATTATGTCGATCATTTTATACGGAGAAAAAATTAGACATCGATTGGTGGATGCAGACACCACAGCTTGGACATGCATCGGCCAATGCGTACCAACGGCATATTTATTGGATACGATATCCACAACCGTACAAAATTTTCCTCCTGGTGAACGATCTTAAACAAAGTACGTCTAAATGCTGTAAACATGATAACATATCTTGTGCTATATTTGCGCTACTGCTACAATCAGAGTGGATATAAGGAAATGGATGTGATGATAATTTATGCGAATCGGTGCGTAAGTAAGGAAGTTAAACATGAAGTTAAAAAGACAGGGATATGCTCTTATTCTTAGATCACAACCATGTCCTTTAGCTTCGTAATTTACAGAGAAATTTTACATTCAGGAGAAAGGGTGTAAGTAAATGTGTCGATTTCCGAAACAGATATGCTAGCCATTTCATTGTTTATGCTTCTTAACGTAACACGGTCTCGAATTGAGCTAGAAAATGAGTTTTCTAATTTGGAAACGCATCCATAATGTTAAACTTAATGTTAGATAATTTGCTCATGCGTGTTGTCGTATCGAAGTAAAGAGTCGTGATCGGAATAGTGACAAATTATTCCAAAGGACCACACTTTACTCGCAGATCGAGTTTCGATGATGTGTGCAAAGTAGAAAGTACATTTCTTACGAATGTTTGCTAATAATTTAATAACCCCTCAACTTTCAGCAAAAAATCAGTTACTCTTAATCAACTAAGGTACTACATTTGCTTGTTAAACATATTTGCCTTGCCGCGCTTATCGAATGGAGTGCTACTATCTAAAAATCTTACGAAAAAACATTAATAAACGGTCCTGCTGCCTTAGTCGCATTTTGGCAAAGTTAGGAAGCTGGTAGACATAATCTCCATCTTACCTATTGCAGACTCCAGGACTAAATGCAGCTGTTATGACGGTTAGATCGTTACATGATATCGACATAAAGCTTTAGTAAGATGATGGTGACACCCTACCGCAATGGTCCATAACGGCCATGATATCACATTACAGGTAATCTCAGTCAGAGAAAGACGGTTAGAGTGGTGAGTAGACAGCTGCTCTGCAAATTTGTTCTTGGATACAATAAACGTAAAGCTCAGAATAAAATGTCCATGAACTCCAACTACATTGGATAAATTTTCGTAACCTTGTAGTAGGGCATCCTGTGCCTGAATCGAATATGGATTAGGTAGCGCGCACTACTACAGTGCACGTACCTCGACGCTCTATGTACACGTACGCATATAGAAAGGTAATTTCCTTAAGTCGGTATTTGGTAACAGGGAATGTAGAGATGTATTTAGGACACTTTACGTTTTAAAACCTCGGTCTACTAAACCTACTTCAATTATAGCGAAGTACAAATGTGTATGCTAGCGGTCTGCTATCCACCAAGTGCGCGCGTCCTTCACTGATTGAACCACTGTATAGGCTGATATAATGGCATGTATCGGCCAATGAGCGGATGCGCTTAAATATGCCGATTAAGGTACAAATCCGAAAATATGATAAACCTTTTGATGATATCTTAGTTATCACAGCTTTATGCTATTACATATAATAGGCTCATCTTGTTACGCCCCTCACGCAAATATGCAGTTCTGGTGTGCTCGAGCGCGCTTATAACTCAATATCGTGAAAAAATTATAGCTTCTATGCTCGCAATATTCTCAGTACAGTGTAGGTGATCATGTGCTACACAACAACAGCGACGAGATTAATTGAGCATTTCGGCGCTCAGAATGATAAACGCTGATGTAACTTGTGCAGCATCAATCGTAGGTTCCGCACTTCCTTACTCGATTACAGGGGATTGGTCAGTACAGAAGTGCCTGGTTCCGTAAGTTGAAATAGGGTGGGCTAAAGACCATCTCAGAGCGCGTATGCCCCACTCTTCTTTCTTGTCTGCTGCATCCATCGCTTCGTCGACTAACAATACATGAGCTAGGTTTTGTCTTGCTGATACGAATAAAATTGTATCTAACCCGCCCTGGCAACTTTATCGTGGTCACCGGATGTGGCATTTGAGCTGGATGTTTACAGTTCGTATCAACCGGCCGAGAAAATGGGGACTTTTGTCGATACCTTTTCTGATGTTGCAATTGAGATTTGCGCAAAAGCATCAATGTATAGCCTAATTAAAGAAGAGCGTGCAAATGCAATTAAGTTTGGCAGCAACCATAGATTTTGGCTTAGCAACTGTAAGAAACCAGAATAAGTTACACACTGATTTGCAATCCCAGGTCAGACGTAGGTAAGCGAGAAGTTTTTTTTTAGCATTTTAATGTTGCTTAAAGATTGCTAGAATAAAATACATCTCATGTGGCGCTTCTTCACCGTCTCGCAACGCCTTGGCATGTAGTTGAAAGGCGATAGAAAGTTTGAAACTGGTATAGCGTATCATGTCTACCGCGCGGCATATTCGAGCACAGGAGCGGATTTGGACTGTCTTACTTCGCAGTGGACATGGTAGGTCAACAACCGTTAGAGACGCTTGATAATGTCAAAGTCTGAAACTCTGCCGGCTACTTCATGACTGTTATTTTGTGCTCTGAAAGCCAGCGCTTTTTCACCTGTGAGAAGTGAGCAGAAGTGTTGTCATGCTAACAGTACATTCTCTGCACCTAAAAATGTGGCAAATCACTCTGTAACGCCGCGACGTACTAAACAGAGCTGACGTTGAAGTCATAGAACTTTGACGCGTCTTCGTCACCCCGAAAAATGCCTCATACTACCACTTTCATGTGGTAACCTTACCACCATGCTTGTGATGCCGCTCAGAATCATGTCGAGAAAATCGCATATCGGCTTATGGCTAACGAAGACCGTGTGGACAATCGAACTTTCTTATCGTTACTGCAAAGCACCTCGGACTATTTCGCAGTCGTCGTAGCTATATAATTGTCGCTCTACTTTTTTTGTACAGCTACACATCGTAGTGATATCTATGACCATTCCGTGATCGTTTTGATCCTCAGCACTTTTTGAAACGTTGTAATTTGCGCACACTCACGTCAAGTTTTAATGTACCCTGACTCTTCAGGCGCTGGCCGCCTTCTCCGAAATTGTGCGAATAATTGGCCGCGTGGCTCGTTACGTCACTTTCTAGTTTCCCATACCGCAACTGCTTCGCTAGTTGATCATGTGATTCTATCAAGTTTTGTATACACCGGTGGAGCGTTCCGCTGGGTTGTGCATCACTGATGACGTCAATGAAGCGGCGTGAAGCACCAAAATGGACTTGCCTTTTTGCAGTGACAGTCCGATACCCTGTGATTCATATTTTGGAAAGAAAGATTTCTTATTACAATCTTGATGGTAATTTCACTTGCTTTAGCGGGCGTGACCGTTTGTGTTGGGTAGAGGATTAAATTTGAGGTGAATTTTTCTGCTAGGTACATAGTTTGCTTACTCTTGCAACCTCTTAGCTTTCTGCAAACTACCTGATAAACCAAGACCAATATACTGCTGAGTGCACATATTTTATACAGTAGAGTATCTGTTTTTTAAGAAATTAAAAAAAAGACTTTACGGGATTAAAAGAATTTTCAGAACTGTCATATGCTCAAAAAATTAAACTTATTAAAAAGGTTTTATTTACAGGAGGATACAAAGGCGGCACTACGTGCACTGAGTGATCCTTCAATCCTTAAAAGTCCTTTGAATCCGTTCTATTCTTTAGTTAAGGAATTTCAAGATGTGGTATTTTTTCAAAATAAAATATTTTTATAATTTTTAAATCTTAACTAATAATAAAAGTATTTGGTCAAGGGAATTTCGAAAAATAAAGCCCTATCTCTTTTATGCCCCAATTTTATTAATTGTTGTTTTCAACAAGTTTCATGATTCATGAACTTTTCACAGAATTTCGAAAACAGGAAAAAAAAAGTTATCAATTAGCGTCAAAAGTATCATAAACAAATTATGAAACATGTTTACAAAAATATTACCAATATAAAATTGTATATGATCTTTGAACAAATTTAAATTTTAAAAAATATATATAAATTAAATTTATTAATGTCTGTTACTATGACACTTACAATTAACATGACCGTAATCCCGTGATGTAGTCGGCCTTCTTGAAAGTGTATCGAGCGACGTCATCTTAACACTCGCACTGGCCGCTAATGCTGTGTTGGCTTTAGTGTTGGCTTGGCCTTGATACCCTTTGACTCGTACGTAAACTTCAGCATCTTAGTCCCAGGTGCCTTCGTCAGCATATCCGCAAGCTGGTTCTTGATGTCAATGTAGTCGATCTTCAGTAATCTTTTTTATATGTTTACCGAATGAAGTGGGGCCTAAAGTCTACATGCTTTGACCAAGCGTGATATCCGGCATTACTAGACAAGGATATTGCTCCTTGGTTGTCTTTCCATACCTATGTGCCATTCACTTGCTCGTAACTCATGTCCTTGAGCATCGCACGCATCCATAAAACTTCTTGTGTGCATAGGCTAAGAGCCATATATTCAGCTTCGGCTGAGATGAGCGCAACTACTCGCTGGTACTTCGACTTGATACTACTGGAGTGTAACGGGGCACCCTGAAGCTTGTAATGGTGACAGTACAAGCTACTTATTCTGATGACAGAATAAGGCGGTGCCGCGTAACTTCACGTACACTCGTACGTGCAGAGGAAGACGGTAAGAAGAAGCGAGTACTTGTTTAAAGTAAAAAGTAGAAGTGTATTTATAATAGTTAATGTCTGCAATAAATGACTATTTATCTTCATCTAACTATGTCTAAATACAAATGTGTAAATCAACTATCTGCTCACCACTCATTGTGTGCGTCTGTCGTGGCGTGTCTTCGTTGGTTGATATAATGGCCTATATCAACCAATTAGGAACTACTCGTAAGTGCTACAGAATATTTGTCTTTATGACAATATTCTGAGAATATAACTCTTATAGTTGTATTCTATTAACAATTTCTTATAAATTGCTATGTAACGATTCACCCCGTTACATCACCCCCCCCTTAACCATCAGTCACTTTAGTGACTGATCGACTAAATGGATACTCGTCCCAAATCATTTAAGACAGGGTTTGCACTTGTTGGTCCGAGTCCACTTTCCAACAGTTCATCGCACGGTCAACAAGCCCATGCGATGCGCGAGCAAGGCCTCCGAGAGCGCGCCCGCACGTCTCTGTGCGGACGCTGAAGCAGAAACCAAAGCAACTGATGTCTCATAGGTTGCTGAAGCGACTCAGCCTGTGTCACTTGGTGATGCAGGCGCTGGTCATGAAGACACTCATGTCTTCACAGAGTATGAGCTCGGTGTCTCATAATCTCCTGATACGGAAGACGGATCCGTATCAACGGCGATCGAAACCAAGCCGCCTGCCAAGCGTGGCATGGATGATGCTATGCGTCGTAGCATATTTGGTTCATCTGATGAATCAGATGAACCATCGCCGAAGCGAAAGCGCTCGAGGTCGCGAGACTCGGACGCTAACAGTGGTGTCGGTTCTCCTATTGACACCACTTCACAGCGAGGTGCCAGTACTTCTGTCGGCACGTCGCAGGAAGATCGGAACCGCAGTGTGTTGCGTCTCGCTCCTGAAAAGAAGGCATGGATGCCTCCTAAATCCGTCATGGATCACTTGTCGGCGACGACGAGTGATCGTTATCGAACACGGCTGTTCGATTTTTCAAGGATCCATCACCTTGACCCCAGTGCGAAAGACTATCGCGCTGAGAACGAGTTCTTCATCGATGCTTTCTTCAAACATCGATGGTACAGTGGGAATCACAAACGTGATGGTCCCTCACTGCTTCAAGCGTGGAACGCTTACATCCATAACCTTGAGGATGTAGGTCGTGACGCTTGGAACGACAAACTAATCAAATCTCGTGATAAGTTTGAGAAGAGAACCCCGACATGTGCACGCTACAAGCTGTATCGTCTGTCAAGGGAGAAAGGATTACCCTGTCTCTCCTAGGGAGACCCGTGCCCTTGTTGTGAGAACAAATCTGTGCGCGCACCTAAGGAGGCCTACCTCCTTACTAGCCCGTGGTGGCGCGTACGTGTCTCTACTGAGATGTACGAAGGGATTGACAACCTGAAATCCCTTTACGACCGTGCCGGGAAGACTTTCTCCGGCGGTCCTTCTGCGGCACAGGATGTGCCGCGTCGTACTGCTCGACCAGACCCAGTACGTCAACCATCAGTTGGGAGCGGGGCTCCCAAGAATCCCAGGACGGGGGATAGCCGCGCCACCGGACGAGGTAACTCTTCCGATGTCCGTTCACATCGCGGTGGTTCAACAGCGGCTCAATCAGATAGCGCTGGCCACCGCGAGAGTCCTCTAATGGAGGTGGAGGAGGAGGGAAGACGCTCTCCACACAATCGTGGGGAAGCGTGTGTTCCCGAAAGCTTCTTTGATCGCGTGACGCAAGGGTTACGCGGCGATCTCGAACATGAGCGGGACAGGCGTCTCCAACTGGCGGACACTGTCTTGAAGCATCGAGCTGAGTTTGCCTTTGCTCAGATTGAGAACGAGAGAGCTCTGACGTCTCTGCATGACGAGCTAAGGGTAGCTCGTGGGAATGTTGACCGTTCTTGGGCTGAGATAAATGCTCTTCAGACCCTTGTCGATGCCCACCATCGGGAGCACAAGGCTCTCTACGAGATGCTTGAGCGCAAGGGCGTTCTTCATCGGAAGAAGCAGCGTACTGATGGTACGGCTTAAGCCGACCAACGTAAAACTTGGGATGCGTTCGCATCTTACGTGGTAACTCGATCGTGTATGCATTGCTAGGCGATGCAATGCACGAAAGGGGCCGATGTACTTGGGTAGTAGTTTACCGCTACCCAAGTTAGTCACTACATGCTTTGGTAGATTAATCGTAGACAGTAGGACTAAGTCACCCTTATTAAATAAAAGAGTGTTTGCCCTTCCATTCTTGTCAGCGTTTTGCTTTTGCTTATCCACCGCTTCGGCGATGGATTCTTGCACAAAACGGACTACCGTTTCACGAGTCAGTATGAACTCATCTGCTGACTCGTTAGCTTCAGTGCGCTGTGAGTGCACTGCAGCAACATCAATCTTTTCTTCAGTGAGGGCTTCCGCACTCTCACTGGCATCATCTTCTTCGATATCGATGTTATCGATATCGTCATCTAACGCAATGAGCTCTTGGTCAGAGCGTCATGAGCGTGAACCAAATCGGTTTTTGCTCGCGCAAGTCCCTCCCCCTCTTATACCAGAGTTTCACTCTAGTAAGGTGGGTACACACGGATGGCGCAAGCCATTCACGTAAAACGGTGTATGTGTCGCGGACGCATGCACCGAGTTGTTAATGGCAAACTCTACCATTGGCAAAAACTCACTCCAACTCTTAAAGGAGTGTACGTATCCTCGAAGTATCTCTTCGTGGACACGATTGGCACGTTCCGTCTGACCATCTGACTCTGGATGATCAGATGTCGACATCTTCCAGCGCGCCTCGAGTGATTTGAACACGGAACGCCAGAAATTAGCAGTGAAGCACGGATATCTGTCTGATACGAGTTCACGGAGCAACCCATGAAGTCGGAAGATGGTGTCAATAAAGACACAAGCACAGCCACTTGCTGTGATTGACTCTGGTACAGCCACAAGGTGTACCATTTTGCTGAATCTGTCAACAAATACAAGAATACCCGTATTCTTGCGTGCGGCTTTGGGTAACCCGAAGCCAAAATCCATTGAGATGGATTCCCAGCACTCAGCCAGAACCGGCAGAGGCTGTAAAGGTGCACGCAGTGAAGGAATTGACTTCACTCGTCGACAGACTTCGCATGCGCGAACGTAATTGCGCACGAACTGATACTGGCGGGGCCAGTAAAAGTCTCGACTCACCGTGAGATATGTTTTCTCCCGGCCACGATGTCCTCCTATAGGAGCATCGTGATACTCGAACATGATCCGCAAACGCAGATCAGTATCATCTGGAATGACAACACGTGGTGTGTCACCAGAAACGGCTGTATAATACAGTAAACCGTTGCGAGTAGTGTATCGATCTGATGCAGAACGATACGCAGACGATAATCGTTTCAACGATTCTCGAGATGGCTGTGAGAGATGTGTCAACAACTTCACAATCTCACCATCTTGGGCATACACCCGCCTCACATCATCATGCAACGTTGAAGATGGTACTGAGGACTTCATAACCGCAACAGTGGCTGTCTCACTGTTGGGTCTCACGACTGGTTCAAAGTCGGGACGACGTGAGAGTGCATCAGCGACGACATTTAATCGTCCTGGTTTGTACTCGACCGTAAAGTTGTATTCTGCAAAGAATGACAACCACCGCGCCATTCGTTGTGAAAGGTGCGGGCTGTTCACTGCCGTGCGTAATGACGCATGGTCAGTGTAAACAATGAAGGGTCTATCTCCTAATAGATAGACTCTGAACTTCGCGAGTGCATACTTCATGGTAAGGAGTTCCTTGTCATGCACTTGATATTTCCGCTCAGCTGGTTGCAGCTGACGCGGCGGATAGCAGACGACGCGTTCAACGCCTTCAAGATCGTACTGCATTAATGCACAGCCGATTGCAAATTCGCTGGCATCACAGACCACATGAAATTGCCTGTCCTGATCGGCTATTGCTAGGACTGGGGATTGTATCAAGCTCTGCTTGATACCATCAAAGGAGCGCTGACATTCAGCGTTCCATGACCACCTCTCGTTCTTTTTCAACGAACGAGGGAGGTGTACAGTCATCTCGGCGTAATTGCGTGAGTACTTGTGCAAATACGCCGCTAGTCCAAGGAATTTTAGAAGACCTTTTACATCAACTGGCACAGGCAAGTCGGTGATTGCCTTGATCTTTTTGGGATCAGGACGTACACCGTTCTTACCAACGATGCACCCAAGAAGTGGTATTTCGCTTGCTGCAAATATACACTTCTTGAGGTTTGCATACAATTGATGCTTTCGCATGATTGTAAGAACCTGTCGGACGTGATACCTGTGAACCTCAACGTCCGACTTTCCATCCATAGCCCGACTATGGATGAATACGTCATCGAAATAACTCGGCGCGAATTCGCGTACTGGTCTCAACAGATGTGTATCACATCTGTTGAACGTGGCAGGGGCGTTACAAAGCCCTTGTGGCATTACTAGCCATTCCCAGAGCATGCCGCTAGGCGTGCTCACTGCGGTATAGGGTATATCCCGCTCTCGCATAAGGATTTGATAGAAGCCATCCATCAAATCCATGGACGAAAAGATGGTACTCTTTGACATACCATCAATGATTACGTCCTTCCTTGGTATCGGCGTCCGAGCCGGTACCGTTGCAGCATTCAACTTGTTAAATGCATGCACTATCCTCCACCGTCCTGTTGCTTGTCGCACACAGAAGGTCGGAGAGATATGTGGGGAAGTTGATTCCCTCACATGGCCCGCAGCTAAACGATCGGCAAAGAACTTGTCGATCGCAAGTACCTGTTCACGAGGCAGTGGCCACTGCTTCATGACACAGTACTTCGAGCCTGGTTTAAGCTCGACCTCGTGTCGAATACCTTTATCCTTCGGTAACTCGCACGGAACAGTTTCAGGGAATACATCCTTGAATTCAACCAAATCCTTATAGAGAGGATTTGTCTTGAGCGATTCCCACGATTGGGAGTCATATCGCTCAACTCGTGTCTTTTCATCGAGGACACTCTCGTCCATCGATCAACTACTGAGAACTCTCTCGTTCTCAGTAAACATTGTTGCTGACCTTATGTCGGCTACACACTCGTCGTCAGCGACGAGTACGCAGATCTGCTTGACTTTGCCACTACGCAGATCACGCAAGAACCTTTTATGTTCGAGCGTTGGCAACTGAGTGATCTCCGAAGTCAACTTCGGAGGCGCAATCAGATCGAGTGTATAAGCGCCTACGCTTGATCCGTTATTGACTATGACATTCAATGTCTCGGTCATTTCGTGGGGACTTATTCCCTCAGGCCTCGAAGGACTTATTCCTTCGGCTTTCCGAAGACTTATTCCCGCGGGTTTCGGGGAACTTATTTCCGCCGTATTTGTAATATCGGGACTTATTCCCTTAACTTCTACTAGCTGTGGTTGCGCAACCACAGCGAGATCCTCTACGAAAGACTCTCCAGTCGATCTAGCATTATCGTTTCGCTTAACCTAAGCGATCGGTTGTTTCTCTTCTAGATGTTCCCCACTAGGGATACATCTTTGTCCCGGTCCACTCGACTTATTCGAGTGGTGGACCCTCGGCGCAGCCTGTGTTTCCTCACAGCCGCCGGAACTTTGCTCCGAAGTGTAATCGTTTGTTACACTAAGGTTTTGTGCAGTCGTACTAACGACCGTACCACAAGTGAGGCCATCGCACTCACTCGTAGTACATCCACACGCTTGTGGACGCTCCAAAACGTTCATCAGATGGCCATCTGATGAACAAGCGGCAGGCATCGTTACTGTTCGATGTTGCCAGTTAACTCGTGGTTCGTACCTTCTGAGCCACGGTATTCCAAGGATGACACCAAATTTGTCATCCAAATCCAATACGATAAAGTCATCGTCATATTGGGTATCTTCTAGCGTATAGTGGATCTTCACTATACGCTTCATGACGGCTACGGATGCGCCTGTCGCAAGACGTACCGTCATCCTCGTAGGAGGTGTGTCACACTCAACAAACTTGAAGTGACCATCTTCTAGCGATTGGCGTCGCACAAAATTGTTAGACGCCCCACAATCTACTAGAGCTCGAAGGGACAGCTTATTCGTCACTTCGAGTTTCAAGGTAATGAGTGAGATCTCATTACCTAGAGCAGCAACACACAATGTTTGTGTGTTGAAAGCAACCTTCATCAAGAGGCCTACAAATTCTCTTGACGTTGCTGGACCAGTAGGGTGCTCCGCACCTACTGATCCCGTCCATTTTTTGACGGTCCATCCCGTTGTTGCGTCTTTGCACCAACAGCGGACCCGCGTCCCTGCCCTTTTCTCATGGGTGGACGGTCATTACGCCCAGTGTTGCGAGACACTGGACGAGGGGCACTACACTCATAAGCGTAGTGTCCTGTCTTCTGACATCTGTTGCATTTCTGCAACTTCTTGTAGTCTAGTAGAGCGAGCCTTCTCGCTCTCTACATAACAGAGTTCCATCGGCTCTGGACCTCCGTTGTCATATCGTCTCGGTTGACGATATGATGTCGAGCTGGCGCGAGCCTGTCTCAGACTGAAGTCTTCCTGTTCCGCAATGGAAATGGCTTGTTCTAGTGAATCTAGTTCAAGCCGGAACAGGTGAGTCTTGACGGGACCATCCGCAAGACCCTGCATGAACACCGAAACCAACGTGTGTTCATCAACCGGGTTGGAACTTATACAACTCGTGAGGTGTCGTATATGTTGTGCGTAAGCGTGCACATCACGCTTACCTTGCTTGAGCTTCAAGAGTTCAGTTTGAGCTCTGAACTCAGCTCTAGGCGGTTCAAACGTTTGTCTGAGCCGCGACTTGAAGACTTCTAACGACCCAAACGCATATGGGTCGTGCAACTTGAGCCCCAGTGCCCAAGTCTTGGCACGTCCTGCCAGATTGGACTGGGCAAATGCAACTTGCATTTCCCCATCGTCGATGCGACGCGCCCTTATGGCGTCGTCTAATTCGACAAACCATCTCAAGAGGGAGTCCTCTTCGACTCCCCTATACTTGGAGATGTCAATCTTCAAGGTCTCGGGTCGACGCGAGTGCATCGAACCACCAGCAGCAGCCTGCTGCTGTCTCAACAGTTCAAACTGTTGAGCACCCTGTTCTCTCAACAACTCTGATTGTTGAGATCCTTGTTGGTCAAGCAAGGCTACTTTCTCGCGTTCAGCGTCAAGTTCATTTTGAATGAACTTGGCGATAGTAGCATGTTGGGCGTCTCTATTGAGAGCCTCTAGCATGACGCTAACAGCATGGATGCCCATGGTTGAACCCATCCGTTCAACCGCATCCCATTCGACATTGCTCAAATGGGAGTAGCCGTCACGCGTAGCGTGAAAGCTTTGGTCATCTTCATCATCCAAAATATTCATGTTAGATGTGAACGTGGTCCTTGGACGGACTACGAAGTGCTACCAGGTGTAACGGTGCACCCTGAAGCTTGTACTGGTGACAGTACAAGCTACTTATTCCGATGACAAAATGAGGCGGTGACGCGTAACTTCACGTACACTGGTACATGCAGAGGAAGACTGTACGAAGAAGCGAGTACTTAGTTTAAGTAAAAAGTAGAACTGTATTTATCATACTTAATGTCTGCAATAAATGACTATTTATCTTCATCTAACTATGTATAAATACAAATGTGTAAATCAACTATCTGCTCACCACTCATTGCGTGTGTCTGTCGTGGCGCGTCTTCGTTGGTTGATATAATGGCCTATATCAACCAATTAGGAACTACTCGTAAGTGCCACAGAATATTTGTCCTTATGACAATATTCTGAGAATATAACTCTTATAGTTATATTCTATTAACAATTTCTTATAAATTGTTATGCAACGATTCTCCCCGTTACAGGGAGCGCTCGTAATTGTAATCATTATTTTTGAAACTGAACGTCTGTCATCGGTATTGCTGCCTTAATCAGCATCTGAGTATGCATTGACCACAACTATGCCACTGCCTTGGTAGATGACACCGGTTTCACGAGTAGTCTTCGGGTACGCAGTACACTAATTGCTGCGCTTCAGTGTTGTGGCCCGGCATTCTCTAGAAAACGTGATTGTTGTGTTACCACGTAGAGAGTGTCCAGGCGCGTGCAAGTCGTGATATACAGAACACATACAATCAAAGACAGGTATGACTTCAAGTACATGAACGAGCGTCCCTCTTCCGTAGTAGGCGACTGCGATGACGACAGTATTAACGCTGGTGCATATGGATTGTCGACACTCTTGGAATTTTGTTGATCAAACCTTTTAACCACGTCGTCTATATCGAGAGTCTGCTCGATCATAAGCGTCCTGGCTGCCCTGTCGTGATCAATTTTCATCCTATATACATTCTTCCTTGCACAGCTGCTTTATTCTAAAAGCAATTCTGAGCACATCTTCACCAAATTGATCGTGTTGATCGTTCTGGATTCAATTATCAAATCATCGACCTAGATTACAACGCAGATGAAGCCTTTTTAAGGGTGATTGACATAAACGTACTGATTCGCACTGCATCCTTTGAGCCATTCTCGACAAAGACACGATAGATTGTCTTGTTCCAGGCACTTGCTGCTTGCTTCAGTCCGAATATGGCCTTGTTTAGCTGACATGCGTATCCCTGAACATTGTCGACACCAAGTGAACCCTACAAATATACACTTTCCGTTAGCACACTGTTTTGAAAGGCTGTGTCAATGTCTATCTGCTCCTTTGATAGTCGCATTCATCACATACCGTGAAAAAGATTCGGATTGAGTTTGTGTTGGCGACCGGGATATAAGCCTAAAAAAGTCGAGACGGTAGTTCTGCTTTAATCCTTTCGCAACTGGTCGTGCCTTTTATCGCACGACAGAGCCATTCTAATCATGTTTATTGGCAAAAAAACATCTAAAATCAATGGTACGATCACTCACAACACGTACCTTTAGTTTCCAGGTCTAGATCTGCTCATGCAAACGAAGCTCAGCGTCCATTGTTTAACGCCACATTGCTGCTTCGTCACCAGCCATTCTATATTATACGTGGTTGGTAAATCGATATCCTCGCCAATTTACCGCTTATTCCAGAACAGCTTCTGCGAGGAGGCTGTGGTGGAGTGGGGCTGTCAAAACGGTTTGACGAGACACCAAACCACTCACTGTGCCGGACTGCCGACTTTCGGAGGGGGTACCCCGTGCCGCTTGTGGACCTTGACTCACTTTGTGCAGACTTCGGCCGGGCGGGTTTTACGCTACGGAGGACTTGGTGATGATGTAGACGTCGCACAGATGGAAGTCGACCTGGGGGTCCCGAGCGGATATGCTTCAGTCGGGGTCCAATGTAGGCAGCCACTCGATCGACTTGGTCGAGAGTGGTCTTATAACCAGTTGTCTCAAGTGCTGGTGCCGCCTTGCCTTTGCTTGTCTCAGGGGCGTTAGCCGCCTGTCCTTTACGTATCTTCTCCCTTACCACTATGGTATGGAGACCGCTTCCTATAGCGGTCTTGAGTTGGGGGGCTACTCAACGAACCCACAGGCCAATGTACTTTCTGGGGTTCTACTTACGCTTGTGTCTTACTGACAACTGTGTGTTCGGCGGGTGGGCCAAACAGATCCCTGGCCCGGAACAGGTTGGTAGACCTACAAGTTCTTAGCGCACGACACGTCGTGCTACTTGATTCGCAAAATTGAGTAGTATTTAATGTTATCCTACCCTTTAAACTCCTTTACTCTATTTTTTCCTTGCATCTGGCTTCGCAATGATGAGTGGCTAGGAGCCTCCAGACCTTGAGGGATCAAGTCAACCTATGGGTGACTAGGTCGGCCGATGGGTGGCCAGGTAGGCTTACAGGTGACCGAGGCCCACCTTGGGCGACCGGGCCGACCGATGGATGGCTAGGTCGACCTTCGGGGAACCGAGGTCCACCTTGGGCGACTAAGCCGACCGACGAGTGGTCGAGAACGATTCATATCAGTACCGTTTAACTGGTACCGTCGGTCGCTTTGACCCCGTTTGCCGTAAACTTAACCGCTCGCCACGGTTGGACCCAACAGCCGCTCCTTACCTGTGATCCCCAAGTCTTCGGTCCCTCTTCCTTATGCGAGGTTTCATGTTTGTCCGTATGATCAACTCTTCAGTCCATCGTTTTCGAATACTCGCTCCATCCCAGCCGCCCCTTGCACTTGCTCGACCGTACAGCGGTTCGAGCACGAGCATGTCTTTATTGTCTTGACCATTTGTTGCATGACTGTGCCGATTCTGCCGATATGCCGCCTAGGTCCCCTTCAAACATTATTTCAGATCCATTATCCAGCTCTCCTCCTCGTGAGCCTTCCGGATACGTTCCACTCGCAGCTGTTGTATCAACTCTTCTTGCATCGTTTCTCCAGACATTTAGATGAGTGGCCTTAATCGGGTCACCGTGAATAATCTAACCGTCCGATCCTCGTCTTCGAGGAATACAAGCTCTGGCAGTTGGTAGATCACTTCCGACCCTGGCTACTCTTCCCTCGGTACTGACTTGACCCCTCCTTGTCTGTGTAATGCTTCACTAGCCAGCTGGTCCGCAATCTGGTTCCCATCACGCTTTACGTGGATTATCTCGTGGAAATTCCACGACTGAAGCTTTTTCAGAGCTCTTGCACGCAATGGAGACAGCCCAATTGCCTTGTACTCGAATTCTCCGCGCATCTGCGGGGCAAATAGATTGGAGTCTCTACAGATGATTATTCGCCGTCGTTCAAAAGGTTCCAATAGCTCGAAACCCAGAAACATGCCTTTGTATTCGGCCTCATTCCCCGTGTATTCCTTGAGATATTTGGAGGCAGCGATTACTACCGATTACGTAGGCAGTCTCCATACGACGGCGCTACAAGCTCCTCCTCCTTGTTTTACACGAGTTGATCCATCAAAGCTTAGTACGTAAGGCTCCTCGTCTTTTTCCACCGTAGGCGAGGTAGGTCAATCTTCTGCTTCGACTGTTCCTTGGGTGCGATAGTCGGTAGGATCGAGTCTATATTCTCGCGAGAGAAAGGTTAATACTGGCCGCTAACGCCCCCAGCACCTGGTCTTCGCCTTTCTTGCACTTCACAATCTTCAATCCCCACTGTGACAAGAGAGCCGCCCGATTTCCCAAACGCCCCTTGAATTCAGCGAATTTGACCGACTAGGCCAACGTCGAGTGTCTCGTTTATAATTTGAGAGGTATATTGACCAGCACCGTGAACAAGTTATCAACAATCGCAACAATGCCAGCACTCTTTTCTCCACGGTACTGTAGTTCAACTTGTTGGCTTTGAGTGTCTGGATCGTGAAGGTCACTGGCATATGTAGGCAGTCATAGTCCTGCACCAACGACACTGAGATGGCCTATTCGCTCGCGTAGACAATAATCACCACTACTTTCGATGAATCGAAATGTCGCAAAATCCATCTTGAACTTGAGCATAGCGAAAGCCACTTGAACTCGAGACCTTTTCTCTTCATCTTCACCCGTGGTCAATGAGTGGTGACCATCTTTAAACTTGCATCGCCACGCGTGGAACTTCACCTCTCTCAACTCGTGTAGGTCCAACGCAAAGATATTATGAGCCTCGATAAACCTGCTGTAGTAATTCAGACTTCCGAGAAACGACTGCATGGACCTGAGCGTTGTTGGTAGAGATAGGTCGACTAGTGCTTTAAGGTCCTTCGAGTGAGCTTTTAATCCTTTTCTAAGAACTCGGTAACAAATGTAATCGACCCTTCGACATCCCCACGAATTCTTGATTACACTAATTGACCAATTAAAGTAGTCGCATACGTCCAACAAACGTTTCAACTTGTCATATAACACGTTCCAAGATTTGGCGGGTATAACTATGTCATCTAAGTACGACCGACAACACAAAATCGAGGGGCCTGAGTCTGTGTCTGTTTCCCCGACGCAGACAAATCTTCTGGCTTATCCAATCTGGTCCCTGGAGATATAAGAAAGAACCCATATCGCGTTGTCAAAACGTCGTTGGTAGATCTGTGGTGCATTCTTGAGTCCGAATGACCTCCGCAGCCATTTGAACAGTACCAACGGTGTGACAAACGCTGAAATCAACCTTTCCATCTCCGTCATGCTGGCCATCTTTAAAGCACTTGCCATATCAAGAGATCAGTACCACAACACACCATCCAAGTCTTACAGTAAGGCGTCATCATCAGTGGTATGGGGTAGACCATGAGTTGAGTCAAGTCTTTTACCAACCGGTAGTCAATTCACAATATGATGTTTACCCCATTCTTCTTCACGATGTCACTATTGGGCTGGCCCACGGCGAGGTAGACGGTTGAATAATCTTCGCTGACAGTAGACTCTTAATTAGCTCGGCCAACTTTCCTTAGAATTTGGGAGCTACCTTTCGCACGCATTGTGCAAACGGTCTCGCATTTCCCACGTCGATGTCGCATATGGAACCACGAGCTGCTGGTGGCAAGGCGTTGCCTTTTCCCATTAGCAGACGTCGCTTATTCCATATGATTTGACTCAATCGAAACGCCCTATAAGGCGTTTTCCCATCCGAATCAGGGATCGTTATGTCCTACAACTCGATGCCTTCGGCGAGGGGTCCACTTCTGGTATTTCTGCCTATTTCTTTGGCCCCGAGTTTCCGTTTTCTAAAGTGCACACTTGGCCATCAGCTTGTGCTGGGCTCTCGTGTTCCGCTCTTGCTTCAGGGACACCGGCCTCCATATGCTAAGTGACCGTGGCTTTCATCGGATGAGTAACCGTGCTTGCATTATGTTTAGTGACGTTGGTACTCGTCGGCCGATTGACGGCGGCTTCTAGAGGTTAGGCTACGGCGGTCGTTTCTTCGCATGTCAGTGATTCCTCCACTGGCAGCTGTTGGGATGAGACGCTCATCACCGGGGTGACTTCTCTCGGTCGCTGCAAAATTATGTAACGGGGACTCATGCTGATGTTTGTCCTAAAATGGTCTCTCTTCTTCCTCCATCAGGTCCAACTGATGGTTGTCCTGGTCGGTGGTAGCTTCGTATCCAAACTCCACCACTCAGCGTATCTTCGAAAGGCCACAGTGACGAACCCTAGTGTCCTCGGTATTTGATCCTTCGCTAACAACATGCCAATCCTGGTGTCGTCATGTAGCTTTTTAAAATTGTGGGCTGGCATTTCCTTTCCGTCTATGCCTGGCTCTCAGCACGTCTTCGAATCCATCCGCATCCACCAAGTGTAATATCGTGAGCTTGTCTGCCAGTTCCGGGTCGTCCAAAGTCTCGATGTAGTGCTCGACATATTCCTTTTGTATCTTGGGCGGTCCGTACTTGGTCTTGATCTTCTTCCTGAGTCCAACCACACTGAGTCAGTTCAGATATTCCAAAGGTGACTCATCTGAACTCTTCTTCGCATGGTAGTATTGGAGAGCAACTGGCACTACAAAACCGCAGAACTACATCTGGAACTCTTGTATCAAGTTCTTTCCAGATTGATCGAATCGAGCGACCCATTTGGCGATACCAGTTCTGAGCTGGTCCAGTTAGCAATCCCACCGAAGACAAGACACTTTTCATCGTCGGGCGCTTGATCTCTCGTGAAAGCGGTTTTCACCATGGTCACCCAACTGCGTGCTCGGTCCTCGTCTTGATCTCTTCCGTGGAAATCCTTGAGGTTCGATGTTGCTGCAAGCTAAATGCGATGAACCATGTTGGGCATTTGTCCTACTGTAGCTGATGCCCTCCTCGCAAGTGTTCCCTCCTAGTACATGTCGTCTGGTTCGTACTCGCACGTACCGACTTATTCCATCTCCACGTCAGTCATAGTACGTTGTCTCGTGCTTGCGTGTAAATTCTCGGTGCTTGTTGGTTATCTGTTTCCTGTGCCCTTTGTGCCTCTGCGATCGCCCCTCTATCTTGGTATCCTTGTTGTACCTGTCGTTTCTGTAGAAATCTTGCCATCTCCGCGTCGAAGTATGTCTGCAAGTTACCTTCCGTGTTGGTAGGCGCACTCAACCAGCATATTTGGTGGTTTACACGGAGTTTCATTGGTCAGAAAGGAGTAACTGGCTTCGTCACGTGGTGGTGCAGAGTTTCGGTTACGACCGTGCTGTATTCCCGTTGGGTAAAAATTCAACCAATCAGGCACTTGGGTGTTTGGGTGGACACGTGTCGTCGTTTTGTAATCATACTATTTGGGTGAAAATTCAACCAATCAGGCACTTGGTTGTTTGAATGGACGCGTGTCGTCGTTTGTAATCATACTAGTTAGTCGCCCAGCCCTTGTACAAGCCTGGAACATCGCTGCTCCTGCCGGTCCCAGTGGCATCTGGTCGTACCAGTTAAGAGCAGACGAACCGGGTGACGACCGCTTATCCGTGTCTTGGGAACCTGATGGGATAGTCGGTGGTGGGGGACGGGGCATCACCCTCGAATTGTCGAGATGAGGTCGCGCTTGGGGTGGAGCCTTGAAGTCTTAAAGCATCATGGGGCTGTCGCGAGACGGTGCCGTCATAGATTGCACTTGTGTATGTTGTTGTGTCTGAAGGGGTGGTCCCATTCAGAATCGCCAATCGCTTGTGAAATATCTTTAACATGTTTTGAATCTGTTAAACCCCAGATCGATCAAAAATTTTGGCCCGAATCTTCCTGAAGCCATGTTTACCTCGCAGAGGACGGTCGCCAGCGCAGTGACCGCTTCGGTGACCTTCCAAAGTCGTAGTAGGGGTGACACCGTTCCTCTTAGCTGTCCCAGCAGCTGTATTATCAGGGTTCTCGCGACGGGGTCGCTTGCCAAAAGTGTGTCCACATTGCGTCGGTGGTAGGCGATCGTTACAGCATCGTCCGACCAGGCTGGCGGCACTGCTTGGGCAGTGCCCACCGACTTAATGTCTACCAGCGTCTTCGTCTAAGTGTTCTTTGGCTAGGAATTAGCGATCGTGGGGTGTTTTGGTGCCGGGGACCGTAGCTTTCTGAATCTCGTCGTCGGCCGATGACCCACTTCTCCGTCGATGGTCCTAATATGTCGGGACCTATTGACTTTGTGTCCCCCGGCGCTTTCATGATGGCCTTCCTCGGCTTGGACGTGGCGACCGTAAGGGTGTCTTGTTTCAGGGACCTTAGCTTTTTAAGTTTCATCGTCGGCTGTTAGTTTTATGGAGCATGATAGGTATTATGACCCAAGAGGTCCTCAACGAGGGCGTAGGGAGGGTGTTCAGATTTTCTGTAATAATTTCAACCTCGACCATATAACACGGACCCTTCCCGAGGTCCGGTCGGTCCTCAGACTCTTTTATTATATCTTCTTGTCACTGTAGCTCGGTCTTCCAGTGGCTCATCGGTCTTTATTTCAATCGTAGTCTTAATGTCTCCTTCATCTTATTACTCGCGGTCAAATTCCGCGTGTTCCGAAGATCCGGGCTCGTGCAAAATTGTGTAGGTTGTCAAAATTGTTTGACGAGACACCAAACCACTCACTGTGCCGGACTGCCGACTTTCGGAGGGGGTACCCCGTGCCGCTTGTGGACCTTGACTCACTTTGTGCAGACTTCGTCCGGGCGGGTTTTACGCTACGGAGGACTTGGTGATGATGTAGACGTCGCACTGATGGAAGTCGACCTGGGGGTCCCGAGCGGATATGCTTCAGTCGGGGTCCAATGTAGGCAGCCACTCGATCGACTTGGTCGAGAGTGGTCTTATAACCAGTTGTCTCAGGTGCTGGTGGCGCCAGGCCTTTGCTTGTCTTAGGGGTGTTAGCCGCCTGTCCTTTACGTATCTCCTCCCTTACCACTATGGTATGGAGACCGCTTCCTATAGCGGTCTTGAGTTGGGGGGCTACTCTACGAACCCACAGGCCAATGTACTTTCTGGGGTTCTACTTACGCTTGTGTCTTACTGACAACTGTGTGTTCGGCGGGTGGGCCAAACAGATCCCTGGCCCGGAACAGGTTGGTAGACCTACAAGTTCTTAGCGCACGACACGTCGTGCTACTTGATTCGCAAAATTGAGTAGTATTTAATGTTATCCTACCCTTTAAACTCCTTTACTCTATTTTTTCCTTGCATCTGGCTTCGCAATGATGAGTGGCTAGGAGCCTCCAGACCTTGAGGGATCAAGTCAACCTATGGGTGACTAGGTCGGCCGATGGGTGGCCAGGTAGGCTTACAGGTGACCGAGGCCCACCTTGGGCGACCGGGCCGACCGATGGATGGCTAGGTCGACCTTCGGGGAACCGAGGTCCACCTTGGGCGACTAAGCCGACCGACGAGTGGTCGAGAACGATTCATATCAGTACCGTTTAACTGGTACCGTCGGTCGCTTTGACCCCGTTTGCCGTAAACTTAACCGCTCGCCACGGTTGGACCCAACAGCCGCTCCTTACCTGTGATCCCCAAGTCTTCGGTCCCTTTTCCTTATGCGAGGTCCCATGTTCTTCTTTATATCAACTCTTCAGTCCATCGTTTTCGAATACTCGCTTCACCACAAGCCCGTCCTCTTCGATCTTCGCACGCTGTATAGTTTGGGGACCGTCTTTCATTCCTTCGACGTTTAGTATTCTGATCCGTTTTGAATTATCAGCATTGGCTCACGTTACCTTTTAAGCGATCTACTTCCGGCTAAAACATCAATTGCTTTTCCTGTTGCTCGTGAGGCCGGGTTGGTGTTCTGCTAAGTCCTTTCTATTTATAGTCTGTCGTCCTGTCGTACAAAGACGCTTGGCGTACGCTCTACATCGTCATTTTTTGACGTCTATGACCGAATCGTCAAATTATTTCATAGGATCGTCCAGATCGGTCTGCTGTTTCACGTGATACTGAGTTTTCACTTCATCATTATCCTTAGTCATATAAATGATTGATTCTCGCTTCCCCGCTTGTGTGTCGTAGATGCCGTCTGCTTCACGTTCATCCAATTTCACAGGGAGGTTATCTTGACCTTAGCATTCTCTAAATCATACACTCGGTAGTCCTTGACATTCTATGCACATCCGAGGAGCATGCGCTTCAAGCCCATGAGCTCCAGCTTCGTCCTCTTCAAAACGTCGACATGATCATAACCTTTCGACCCTAACACACGTGAGCGATACGTTAGAGGCTTCATCTTAATAACCAGCTCGCACGGAGTGATGTCACAAACAGTCGTATTTATGGGGCGATTTATGAGATACACTGCTGTACTCACAGCTTCCGCCCACCATGTAGTCGAAACGATCTCGTAGTATAGCATACTGCGAGCCTTCTCCATGATCGCCCCATTCATGCACTCAGCCACTCCATTCTGTTGAGGGCTGTATGGAACGGAGCGCTGGTGTATGATGCCGTTCATTTGGCATATTCTAGCTACATTCTTATTCACGAATTCCGTTTTATTGTCGGAGCGCAGACACTTCATTCGTGCACTCCATTAGTTCTCGAGCATTGTCTTGAACTCCTCAAGCTTGCCAGTCACTTTGCTCTTGATCTTAAAAAGAATAATCGAGACATACCTCGAGTGTTCGTCGACAAAAGTGAGGGCGTACTTGGCACCCCCTTCTAGCGAGATTCCCATTGGCCCAGTGAAATTGTTATGCACACGCTCTAGCACATGCGTTGATTTTGGTATTGAACGTGGAGGAATATTCGTGAATGTCTGTTTTCCCTTCAAACACCCGGCACACATCGTTTCCGAATCTAGCTTGATTGGAGCGATGCCTATGTTGAAGCGCTGTGTCTTGATCAAAGCGTCTTTGTTTAAGTTTCCCGTGCAAGCGTATCAGAGCTCCCACTTATTTTCATCACCAAAATATTCCACGAGGCATGCTTCTTCCTGCTTGCAGTGAAGCATATACGCCTTTCGATACTTTTCCCGAAAGCAATACCTTGATTTGTTTTCCATATAATGCATGACGATCGAGAGAACTCCAAGCTCATTTCACGTTGAGCAAGTTTACTAACTAGCAAAAAATCCTTTCAAGCCGTGAGGTAAACAGAGCTTCAGCCACCCGAATGCCCCTTCCGTTAAAACAGTTAGTTTTACCGTTCCAGATCCTTTGACAAGAATCTTCTTGCCGTCTGCAATCGTGACTTCGATGTTTGGTTCAAGGAACTTGTAGTCGTACAAGTGTTTCTGTGGGATGTCAGGTGAGATGTAGCACCACTGTCGATCAGCCATCCAGTTCCTCTTCCTTCACCAACTGCAAATACTGCATCATCGTTGCTAAAGCGATTACCAGCTGGGCAGTTCCTCTTCATGTGACCAAACTGCTCATAATTAACAAACTTGCCCCTAAAACCACCTCTTTTGCATCAAGCGCCAATATTGCAAGATGTGCCCCCCCCTTTGGACCGTTTTTCCTTCCTCCTTTGATTTTTCGTATACCAGTTACGCGAAACGCTTTCTCCTCTAAATCCTTCTTGTGCAGCCTTTCTAAACCTTTAGAAGCTTCTCCTCCACCTCATGACTAAGATGTCCTGCACATTCTCTACAATCGACGAAATCATCTCATATTCAGGCGGGAGAATTCTGAGAAAGAACACAAGCTGTCGTGACTCATCAAAAGGCTCATCCATAGTCTGGAGTCCAACAACCTGCTCGTCAGAAGCGTCCAGATGTACCGCCATACTTCTTCCACTAACCATCTTGAACTCGTGGAGTCCACGCGTCATCGCTACTCGATTGTGAAGATTCGAGCGGTTATTAAAGTCGCGTCATCGCTACTCGATTGTGAAGATTCGAGCGGTTATTAAAGTCGCGTAGTAGTCCCCATGCTTCCATAGCACGCGTTGCCTACCGTATTTAGGTTTGTTGGTGGATCTAGACGCCTTAGGCGATGATACCCAGCGACTTGACATCTTTCACAAGCCACTTAGGAGGAGAGCATCCAAAATCTCCGGCCATGCGGAGAATTCTTCCAAACAGAAATTGCAAGGAGAATGTCAGCGCCAAGCATTACAAGAAGCAAATTGGAACCTGATTAGCGTGAATTACAACATCAATTATCTTATCAAGAAAAATAGCGCTTTGTTGCATATGCATCGTCTACAGAATACCAACGTCTGCAACAAAATTTTGAGGAGACCTATAGAATAAGCGAGAGCAGGCAGACTTTTCACTTGATACTTAGCTGAGGCATATTTGCAAAATTAAGGTTTAAAAGAAGATTGAAGTGTGGAAAGATGTGGGCAAAAAACAGGAAACTCCACTCGCGGCTGGAAAATAGAAATATCCAGGTATTGAGAGTCGCAGAGGATGCATATTAACATAGTAGCTGCAAAAGAGGTGCCCGAAAACCTCTAACCAATGCCCATTTACTTCCTGCAGCAAATACTGCTCTGCTTTTCTTTAAAACCAGATAAGTTAAGCATTAGTTCCGTACATAAAAGGAATCGAATATAAAACTAGTTGTTTGGGTGGGACAAAAACTTCGGAAGGACTGGGGGCATGCTTTTCTGATTGGAATAAATAGTATTAGAAGAAGTCAGTGTTTCAGAGACATAGTCTGCCGCTACTACTTGACGGACAATTTAAGCTTATGAACCTTACCAGACCCTTGTAAATGAGAGCCGCGAATACATTATTATCAGCGAGGTGAATGGTTGGCAGCCAATCCGATCTTATCATAGCTATCGTTTGTATGACGCTAACGTCGCCGCGTATGCATGTACAATTCAGATCGGTGCGTTTTTTACAGCACAAGAACGCACCTAAATTCGTCTGGAGAAATCACGTTTTGTAAATAGTTTACGTCGGGAATAAAACAAGAGCTATGCCGTATGTAGTTTTCTAGTGATTATAGTAATATATCGTCATGAGAAATGCGCAATGGCCAACGAAGTGGGATGAAAGCCAAGTCCACCTTAGCCAGCTAGTTTGAATCTTGAGTGCACGTGATAGATGACTCTGCAATACTGCTGAGTTCTACAGGCCAAACTGTGAAATCTCCGACATCCGACAAGCTCCGACCGGGATAAAGATAGCACGAAACAGTGTAATTATGTGCTAAAAATTTAGAATCTTTCAATCTAAGAACCACACAATTTCTGTGTGTTAACTATTATAGGTGTCTTGGGGAGCTAAAATTTGATTAAAGCCAATTTGATCGCACTCGATACACCTCTACTGCCCCTACCCCCAAACAACCCCTCCAGTCCTCTTTTTCGTCCTCTCCACGCCCCGCTTCGTGCTCACACTGCTTCCATCACACAGCACTGCTCCTTCAGCTATGTTACGTCGGAGAGGTAGCTGTGAGAGTTTTGATTGTCCATCCACTCTTAATCAGTTATATATACATGTATTTTACCAATTTACTTCGCTAATGAAGGGATTCATATCACTACGCTCACCCTATAGGTAAACACAATCTATACGATATTTAAGTGCGGTAGAAAAATTAATGTTATTTATTCAAACCGTGTGTGCTGTACACGGTGTAACCGATTGCGCCTGTTACGCTTGTAAAAAGATGACAAGCCACCACTATGTGCCGCATTAGAAAAAGGGATAGAATGGACGCACGTATGTCCGTTTCTTTCTATTATTACAGGGGACTCGTAATGCGATGGGTCATATATATTTGCTTCAGGTGCGATCGACCATCCGATATCTGACTCAATCCTGCAGTGTGATGACAAAGATAGTCCGGGTACGAGGGCCCCACAAAGGCAGGTAGCACGGCACTTCACGTAGCACTATGCCGCAAAGGAGATCTTGATTTATTTGTGGACAAATTTTTGACTCGAGTAATAAGTCGAAAGTGTCCTAAGCTGCTAACCTGGACAATATTGTTGCCCATATGTGAAATTACGTAAGTGCGTATGTACGCATCCAAAGAAACAAGCTATTTACACCCTTGTGAAGGATCGGCGCATACTAATGACCTAATTTTTGGTGAGCGACGTGGTGATGAATTTTCGAGTGCAGGTAGACATGTCTTCTCCTACGGATGGCTTTAAATTTAGCATAACTGTACATAGCATGAGCATTAAAAGGGTGTATGATATGGCTGAAGTTACGGTCGATGGCTTAGAATGATGGAAAACGAATTATTATATAGTAAAGCAGTGACAAAAAAATACACTGACAGCATTATTCGATTACAGTACTACATGGATACTCAAATTATCTACCTGGCATTGGAGAACCGGTTGTGAATTTAGTCGATTCCGATTATGATATTAACACGGCATATATACTGCGTAGCAACAGTTATGAAAAGGCTGAGTTGTAGCCTGCCGTAGTCATTACCCCGTGCGCTCACTCAAGGGGCGAGGACAAAGATGTGCTGCAAAACGTTTAAAGATGATAAGCAGTATGGACAAGCGCCAAAAGAAAATGGCGTTGTAGTAGTCGATGATTTAAATGCTGATAGTTTTTTTGCACTTTTACATAAGATGTAGGAAGTAAACGTGAATGTATTAGTGTTATCCACTATATTTTCAACACTACAAAAAGCATTTCCAACGACACTGCAAGCTGACCAGGTTCGTTGTCCATGCTGTCCGTTTCTTCTCATCCCATGTGTTATCTTGTCACATGGCACTCTTCCGTTCTGGTCCCGTCTGGCATATTCTCATGCGGCGTCCGCCCCTTCTAGTTCCATCAGTCAATATGTCACAAAAACAGCTAATAAGGTGACGTCACATATTACCTGCAACTGGGTCTTGCACTTGGACCTCGAATCCGCCGTGACCTGTCAGAAACGATATCTTCGAATCGAGGATCGACGACGATAAGCGCATGCGTGGAGCAGTCGGCATCAGGATGATCACGTCAATGCTTGGTGTAGACGTCGAGGTCGAGCTGCGCCGTAAATCTGTAGACTGGTCGTACTTATGAAGACACCAAGCGTGCAGTTAAGTATTGACTTGTGACGTACGCCGTTGATAGCGTTCTCAGCAGCAGCCGCCTGCAACCGACGTACAATCCTCTACCATGATTACAAGTACCGACAGGAGATCCGACTAAATTGTCTCCTCCGGCCCTGTTCTAGATCCTGACGCAAGGCAGCGCTCGCCCCAATCCTTAATTTTAATGGGGCCAAAGTTTACATCGGACTCGGAGCCGAATTCTTTAACTGGTGCAAGAGTTCTGGCGGCTGTTTGGCATGGAGCAGTAGATAAGATGCTCCTGTGGGCTGATAAGGTCAAGACAGCAATTATTGGTCAGTCAATGTTAGTCAAGGGTGATAAGTAGCTCGAAACGTTGTAAGTTGTACTGCCGATATTGTCGTACATGATGGAGCGCATGATCAAAACGTTCGAAAAAAACGACCATCAATTTTATGCAGGCGATTAGGTGTTCACGGTGAAAAAGGCTACGAGAGGCTGTTTTCGTTATACTGCCTCTCCCTTTTCCCAGTTTGCGATGCATCCTGCATTGCCGGGTAGTAGGTTCTCGACAATATCGTGCGATATGCGTTTCCCCGGTTATCGTCGATACTATTGCGAAATCCCCGACACACCATCGACTGACTTTTCCGCGCTGCAGATCTAGCGCACTTCACACAGGTAATCAGGATGAAGCCCAACCAGGCCGTTTTCTTATGAAAGAGCGTTTTGACTTTTGGCAAC